CAGGGGTACATGAAGTTTATGAAGGGCTGCAAATTGTCAGCAAGCAGTGAAACAGTCAATGACATGTCTAGGTGGACCAGTGGACCTAACCCATACCATGAGAACACACCCCACACCAGTATGGAATCACCACTAGCCTGCCCAACGCTGGGGTCCAAGGCTTCATGGAGTCTGTGCCACACAGGAACACTACCATCAGCCTGAAACAATCGGTACCATGACTCATCGGACCATGCCACATGTTGCCAGTTCTCTAGGGTCCAAGTAGCAACCTCACGAGCCCAGGTCAGATGCTGTGTTGTGGTGTTAACAGAGGCACTCTGGTGGGCCTTCTGCTCCCCTACCCCATGGAAACAAAGAATGCTGCACTGACCTGCAGGATATGTGTGTGGGGCCTCCTGCACTGAATGTGGATGTGATTTCCGCCAGAGTCGCTTGTCTGTTCTCACGGACAATTCTAGCCAGACGCCAACGGTCAAGATCATTAAGCACCCATGGATCAATTAAACCACTGATCAAAACTGAGTAATAATACAGTTATGGGCCAGACTTTTGACTCCACCATGGTTCTTGGAGAAATTTGCCATGGTACAATACTACATTGACAAGCCACTAGTCATGGGATAGTGGTATGTAACATCTCTGGATCAACCCTGGAGAGGAACATCTCTACCCCTGGAGGGACATCTCTGGATCAACCCTGGAGAGGAACTAATGCAACTGGAGGGACCAATTGTGACAGATCCTTCAATGGGAACGGCTGGTACCTGCTGCTCTATAAAGGGATGAACATCCGTATGCCAGAAAGCTGTGTTGCTTTATCCAAATGTGGTACTGCAACCTCTCTGTGGCTGAACGGTTCTCACCCTCAGATGTCAAATGGAATAGTTTGTTCACCGAGTCTGTGGGAGGTCAGGAACTGACTGCTGTTACTACAGATCCACTCCAGTTCAAGTCAAAGCATGTCCAGGAAACTATTATGTCTATGAGTTTTTTAGTACATCTTTTTGTGATGCAGTTTACTGTGCAGGTACTCTAACTGATTTATAAGCTTTACACTGTGATTGTTACTAGCAATTATCAGGCTTACAGTTTGTTTTATACCATCTCTTCAGATGTGACCACCATAATGCCGATCTCTACAACAACAGCAGCCAGTAGCACTAAACTGACCACTAGCTCTGATCTGTACATGACAAGTAAGTTGTCGGGGGGGTTCTCAATTAACACAGTGTTTGTTGCCATTTTAGTTTTCTATATAGGGTCAAAGGATATGCATTGTTATGGGTTTAAAACCAGTGTTTCATTATTTTTTGGTTTTGATCAGTTGTTTAATTAGCTTTAGATTGTGCTTATTTGGTGTGTTACTAGCAATTATCAAGCTTGCATGGTTATTTTATGCCCTCTTTTCAGATATGAGCACTGCTATGTCCATCACAACAACAAAATTGGACGATAGCAGTCAACTGAACAGAACAAGTAGGTTTCCAGAGGGATTCTCAAAATTGTTATGTTTTAGTAACTTATCAAATAGATTAACATGGTAGGCAATGGTATATTTTAAGCTTCAGAGTCAAATATGCATTTGATTTCATTAAAAATATATATATCTCATATAGAGCACAATCTTTTAAAAAACAGTTTGGTCACACCACTGTATGCCCTATAATACTACTTGCATCTACTTTAAATGTGGTCTCATTTGCCATGTGTCTATAGAACTTCATGGGTAATTAATATAAAATTTGTTTCAATTTTGGCTTTTCATATGGGTTAATAAGTTCAAAATCTTCATTTGATAATTATTTACACTGACAACCCAAAAGTCATGGAACTCTCCACCACATCCCATAAATGTTCAACTGGAGCAAATGTGCAGGCCAAACCATTTGTCCGAAATCTCCAGAGTGCTGCTCAAACCAATTCTGGACAACTTGGGCCCGGTGGCATGGTGAATTATCAAATTAAGCAGGGGTACATGAAGTTTATGAAGGGCTGCAAATTGTCACCAAGCAGTGAAACGGTCAATGACATGTCCAGGTGGACCAGTGGACCTAACCCATACCATGAGAACACACCCCACACCAGTATGGAATCACCACTAGCCTGCCCAACGCTGGGGTCCAAGGCTTCATGGAGTCTGTGCCACACAGGAACACTACCATCAGCCTGAAACAATCGGTACCATGACTCATCGGACCATGCCACATGTTGCCAGTCCTCTAGGGTCCAAGTAGCAACCTCACGAGCCCAGGTCAGATGCTGTGTTGTGGTGTTAACAGAGGCACTCTGGTGGGCCTTCTGCTCCCCTACCCCATGGAAACAAAGAATGCTGCACTGACCTGCAGGATATGTGTGTGGGGCCTCCTGCACTGAATGTGGATGTGATTTTCGCCAGAGTCGCTTATCTGTTCTCACGGACAATTCTAGCCAGACACCACCGGTCAAGATCATTAAGCACCCGTGGATCAATTAAACAACTGATCAAAACTGAGTAATAATACAGTTATGGGCCAGACTTCTGACTCCACCATGGTTCTTGGAGAAATTCGCCATGGTACAATACTACATTGACAAGCCACTAGTCATGGGATAGTGGTATGTAACATCTCTGGATCAACCCTGGAGAGGAACATCTCTGGATCAACCCTGGAGAGGAACTAATGCAACTGGAGGGACCAATTGTGACAGATCCTTCAATGGGAACGGCTGGTACCTGCTGCTCTATAAAGGGATGAACATCCGTATGCCAGAAAGCTGTGTTGCTTTATCCAAATGTGGTACTGCAACCTCTCTGTGGCTGAACGGTTCTCACCCTCAGATGTCAAATGGAATAGTTGTTCTCCGAGTCTGTGCGAGGTCAGGAACTGACTGCTGTTACTACAGCTCCACTCCAGTTCAAGTCAAAGCACGTCCAGGAAACTATTATGTCTATGAGTTTTTTAGTACACCTTTTTGTGATGCAGTTTACTGTGCAGGTACTCTAACTGATTTATAAGCTTTACACTGTGATTTATTTTTTTTTTTGTTACTAGCGATTATCAGGCTTACAGTTTGTTTTATACCATCTCTTCAGATGTGACCACCATAATGCCGATCTCTACAACAACACGCAGTAGCACTAAACTGACCACTAGCTCTGATCTGTACATGACAAGTAAGTTGTCAGGGGGGTTCTAAATTAACACAGTGTTTGTTGCCATTTTGGTTTTCTATATGGGGTCAAAGGATATGCATTGTTATGGGTTTAAAACCACTGTTTCATTATTTCTTGGTTTTGATCCGTTGTGTAATTAGCTTTAGATTGTGCTTATTTGGTGTGTTACTAGCAATTATCGAGCTTGCATGGTTATTTTATGCCCTCTTTTCAGATATGAGCACTGCTATGTCCATCACAACAACAACACTGGACGATAGCAGTCAACTGAACAGAACAAGTAGGTTTCCAGAGGGATTCTCAAAATTGTTATGTGTTAATAACTTGTCAAATAGATTAACATGGTAGGCAATGGTATATTTTAAGCTTCAGAGTCAAATATGCATTTGATTTCATTAAAAAATATAAATATCTAGTGTAGGGGACAATTTTTTAAAAAATTTAGTCACACTACTGTATGCCCTACAATACTACTTGCATCTGTTTTAATTTGTCATGTGTCTGTAGAGCCGTATGGGTAATTCATACATAATTAGTTTCAAATCTTCATTTGATAATTATTTACACTGACAAACCAAAAGTCATGGAACTCTCCACCACATCCCATAAATGTTCAACTGGAGCAAATGTGCAGGCCAAACCATTTGTCCGAACTCTCCAGAATGCTACTCAAACCACTTCTGGACAACTTGGGCCTGGTGGCATGGTGAATTATCCTGCTAGAATATCCCATCACTGCAGGGGTACATGAAGTTTATGAAGGGCTGCAAATTGTCACCAAGCAGTGAAACGGTCAATGACATGTCTAGGTGGACCAGTGGACCTAACCCATACCATGAGAACACACCCCACACCAGTATGGAATCACCACTAGCCTGCCCAACGCTGGGGTCCAAGGCTTCATGGAGTCTGTGCCACACAGGAACACTACCATCAGCCTGAAACAATCGGTACCATGACTCATCGGACCATGCCACATGTTGCCAGTTCTCTAGGGTCCAAGTAGCAACCTCACGAGCCCAGGTCAGATGCTGTGTTGTGGTGTTAACAGAGGCACTCTGGTGGGCCTTCTGCTCCCCTACCCCATGGAAACAAAGAATGCTGCACTGACCTGCAGGATATGTGTGTGGGGCCTCCTGCACTGAATGTGGATGTGATTTCCGCCAGAGTCGCTTGTCTGTTCTCACGGACAATTCTAGCCAGACGCCAACGGTCAAGATCATTAAGCACCCGTGGATCAATTAAACAACTGATCAAAACTGAGTAATAATACAGTTATGGGCCAGACTTCTGACTCCACCATGGTTCTTGGAGAAATTCGCCATGGTACAATACTACATTGACAAGCCACTAGTCATGGGATAGTGGTATGTAACATCTCTGGATCAACCCTGGAGAGGAACATCTCTGGATCAACCCTGGAGAGGAACTAATGCAACTGGAGGGACCAATTGTGACAGATCCTTCAATGGGAACGGCTGGTACCTGCTGCTCTATAAAGGGATGAACATCCGTATTCCAGAAAGCTGTGTTGCTTTGTCCAAATGTGGTACTGCAACGTCTCTGTGGCTGAACAGTTCTCACCCTCAGATGTCAAATGGAATAGTTGTTCTCCGAGTCTGTGGGAGGTCAGGAACTGACTGCTGTTACTACAGATCCACTCCAGTTCGAGTCAAAGCATGTCCAGGAAACTATTATGTCTATGAGTTTTTTATTACACGTTTTTATGATTCAGCTTACTGTGCAGGTACTCTAATTGATTTATAAATTTTACACTGTGATTTTTTTTGTTTCATTACTAGCAATTATCAGGCTCACAGTTTGTTTTATACCATCTCTTCAGATGTGACCACCATAATGCCGATCTCTACAACAACACGCAGTAGCACTAAACTGACCACTAGCTCTGATCTGTACATGACAAGTAAGTTGTCAGGGGGGTTCTAAATTAACACAGTGTTTGTTGCCATTTTGGTTTTCTATATGGGGTCAAAGGATATGCATTGTTATGGGTTTAAAACCACTGTTTCATTATTTCTTGGTTTTGATCCGTTGTGTAATTAGCTTTAGATTGTGCTTATTTGGTGTGTTACTAGCAATTATCAAGCATGCATGGTTATTTTATGCCCTCTTTTCAGATATGAGCACTGCTATGTCCATCACAACAACAACACTGGACGATAGCAGTCAACTGAACAGAACAAGTAGGTTTCCAGAGGGATTCTCAAAATTGTTATGTGTTAATAACTTGTCAAATAGATTAACATGGTAGGCAATGGTATATTTTAAGCTTCAGAGTCAAATATGCATTTGATTTCATTAAAAAATATAAATATCTAGTGTAGGGGACAATTTTTTAAAAAATTTAGTCACACTACTGTATGCCCTACAATACTACTTGCATCTGTTTTAATTTGTCATGTGTCTGTAGAGCCGTATGGGTAATTCATACATAATTAGTTTCAAATCTTCATTTGATAATTATTTACACTGACAAACCAAAAGTCATGGAACTCTCCACCACATCCCATAAATGTTCAACTGGAGCAAATGTGCAGGCCAAACCATTTGTCCGAACTCTCCAGAATGCTACTCAAACCACTTCTGGACAACTTGGGCCTGGTGGCATGGTGAATTATCCTGCTAGAATATCCCATCACTGCAGGGGTACATGAAGTTTATGAAGGGCTGCAAATGAGTGGACCTAACCCATACCATGAAAACACACCCCACACCAGTATGGAATTACCACTAGCCTGCCCAACACTGGGGTCCAAGGCTTCATGGAGTCTATGCCAGACACGAACACTACCATCAGCCTGGAACAATATATATATATACCGATCAGGCATAACATTATTCCTAATGTAATATTACTCCTTGTTTCAACGCTTATTTTATCAGCTCCACTTACTATATAGGTGCACTTTGTAGTTCTACAATTACAGACTGTAGTCCATCTGTTTCTCTGCATACTTTGTTATGCCTGATATATATATATATATATATATATATATATATATATATATATATATAGGGAAATAAAGTTACATGTATGACTGTCTAATGCACTTTACTGTTTGGATAACTTTTGAAATGAATTTGCATTCCAGGATGGTATTTTTACATATTAGCAAATGAGCCTTTAATTTAGCAAAAGCAATTGTTGTAGGTATTGGTACACTATGCAAATTCAGATTCAAATTTGGAGTACTTTATTAATCTCAAAGAGGGCAATTCAAAAGACTTCCAAAATTTGAAACATGAGCTCATTGGATATGTTAGCCTAACACTGTGCTACAGAGACTGCTGTATATTCTCTTGTCGATTCACCTCTTTCAGATCCAAATATCACGGTGTCTGAGGAATGCAAGGTTTGTGGCGATTTATTTACAAGTAATGCCTGATAACTATAATTTCTGACCTTTATACAATGACAAAGATTTGGCACAATCATACCTAATAAAACAGTGACTTATATGACTTCTCATTTTAGGACAATTTCACAACAAATTGTGCAGACAGTCTCTTTAGCCAAATTGAGAATATCACCGTTCAAGTGCTCTCACCAGACGTAAGTAGTGGAACAAAGAAGATCAAGTAATAAAAGAGTCATCCATCATCCTTTGTATGCAATGTGTTAATGTATGTAAATTTCTCTCTGATTATTAAACAGGTAGTAATAAAGTATATAGACATGGTGCTGAATGCCCAGGAGCAGCTTCTGAAGGTTGAAATATTAAGTCTGGATATACTGGCATCTTATGGGAACACAGTGCTGAATAGGACTGAGAAACTGTTGTCTACACTGGTGAAGCCAACAGAGACCACCGACTCAGTTAACATCTCTCTAAATGGCTTAGGTAAATGACTACATAAGTAAATAGATAAATAAAAATTTATACTCACTATTTCCACCCCTGGATCTTTCAGCATGATCAATTTTTTGCCAAGATCAACAATTGTTTTGTGTGTGCAGATAAATAGCTCTCACTTTTCAACAGATATCGAAGTTTAACTATCGCCACTCACTTTTAAGAAAATGCTTGCAGAAAGAAATCATTTTTATTTGATTTAGCATCTATGACCATAGTATATGGTTTATGACTGATGTTTATATTTCTCAGATGTTCAGGTCTTTGCAGCTGGACCGAAAGCCTCCTTGAAAGAAATCCTGCAGCTCAGCATAAACAGTGCACAGATGGATATCGACCTTATGCAGATTTTAATGAATAACAACGGTATAGTAGGAATCTTTTCATGTTTTTGCAAGCCTTTTGGGAAAACACCATTTGACTAAGTGTTAAGTTAGGAACCACTGGATTACTGAGATATTTGCACACAAAATCAGAATAGTCCACTCATCATTTAAGCCACAGCATAAATTAATGTATGCATAGAGAGGAGAAAGCACAAGGCTGCTTATTCATGATGGTTGTTTGTTAAGATTCATCACATTTTATGGATTACTGAAAAAAACCTCAGCAATGAAGTGCAAAGTCCTGAGTGGACATGTCTGATTATATGACATAGATATTTTGCTGTGCTTCAGGATCAGCTGCTGTGGCCTTCATGAGCTTCACTAACATGTCAAGCATGCTGAAACCCAGTCTCTTCAAAACATCTACCAACACAGTAAATAACATGGTGTCAAATGTGATGTCAGCAACACTGCCCAAAACCACTAACACACAGCTCCCCACACCGGTCAACTTCACCCTGAAACACACTGCAGTGAGTTTTCTGATGTTTTAATCTTGAATAAAACCAGCTTCATTTTAAAATGTACTGTTTAATGTTTTGTTTGCATTTTCCATGCCCATGGCCCACAGACTGTGGCTTTAAGATCGTGTTCTAGTGCAGTATATCATGTTTGGCAGGTTGCATCCAATTTATAACTGAAACTGGCATAAAAAGCTTAGTACAACAAGCCCTCATAGTCAGTTAATCAGTGGTTCTTATATCTCTGCTCTGCACCTTCTGAAAGGTCTTCCACTTGTTCAGCGCACAATAGTTAGTTTGTTTACACACAACATTACAATAAAACACAATTTGGGCCATGTATTTATTTTCCATATGATCAAGATTAATTAAGGAGTTTGAAACAATGAGTTGTGAGAGTACTGAACCTACCAGGTAGAGGATGTATGTTTAATATAGCCCCCCATGCACAATAGAGACAATAGAGAAAAATAGGACAATAGAGAAAATAAAGGCATAAAAAATCGGATCACGGTTAGAAATTTGCATTAGTTCATAGCATTTCTGCATCACCAAAAGCTCAACAACTGCACTTAGATGCCACTTTTATGCCAGCAAACTATTTGGACAGCATGCCAGAGCAGAACTTTTTTCCATCTAACCACTCCAAACATTTGGAGTTCAATAGAAAGTGGTAGAACTTTGACTTGAGCCAGGTTCTACAGTCAGATGTGAAATTTTGGGCAACAAAAACTTAATGTGGGTTTGACCAAAAAAAGAATGGTTATTCAGAAAAGTATCCATAACAGTACAATGGAGAATCTGTTATTTTAGGGCTGTTTTTGTTGGCCCTGTGAACCTTGTTATGGCATCGTGGACTTGATAAAGTACCTGGAGATTTTAAATCAGGGGTCTCCAATCTTATCCGCAAAGGGCCAATGGCCAGGTTTTCATTGCAACAAAGCAGGAGCACACATGCTCATTTGTTTAAATACTGAGACTGACGAGTGCTCTTCTTGTCTGGAATGGAAACCTGGACCCACACCGGCCCTTTGTGGAAAAGACTGGACACCCCTGTTTTAAATGAAAATCTAGCTGCCTCTGCCAGGAAGCTAAAATTCTGTCATGGTTTGATCTTCTAGCAGGACAGCGATCCAAAACATACATCCAAATCTACAAAACAATAGTTCAGTGACCACAGAATCAAGCCCTTGACATGGCCATCTCAGTCCCATGACCTAACCCCCCTGAAAACATGTGGGGTGACCTGAAGAGAAGCGTCCCTAAGAGAGAATGTATGATCCTGGAGGATCTGTAGAGATTCTGTATAGAGGGCTCAGATTCTGTATTGTCTAATCTGATCAACCATTACATGAGAACATTATTTGTTATGCAGTTTAACAGCAATGAGCCTGTTGTGTTTCCATGTGCTGTGGCTATAATTTTCTGGATTGTTATCTTGAGATCACAACACAATTAAGTCATGATCTCAAGATAGCAACTTTTGTTATGTCGAGATCACAATATAATTAGGTCATGATGTCAAGATAGCAACTTTTGTTATGTCCAGGTCACGATATAATTAAGTCATAATTTCAAGACAACTTTTGTTGTCTTGATCACAATATAATTAAGTCGTGATCTCAAGATAACAACCTTTCTCATCTCAAGATCACAAGATAATTAAGTTGTGATTTCAGGATGACAACTTTTGTTATCTTAAGATCACAATATAGTTAAGTTGTGATCTCAAGATAACAATCTAGAAAATTATGACTACCCCAAGGCCTCTCTGGACTTCCATACTACATAATAATATCTTTATAGACTAAATTTACATCAAATAAAGATTAGATTGTTTTCATATTTTCAGTATAAGTTTGAACTAATTAACCACAAACACATTTACACAAATATTTAGGCTGCCTTAGGCTAATGCTATGTCTATAGGCTGTAGAAATAGTGTTAGTTTAAACTTGGCGGTGGCTCAGTTTCTACATGTAGAGAGGTCCTAAAAGTCTATCATAAATATTACATGAGACATAATCGTCTCTCTTCTGTTTTGTCTAGGAAATTGACCCTAACAGTGTGCTGTCCTGTGTGTACTGGAATAACACTGAATGGGCTGTAGATGTGTGTTCCCTCCTCCAGACCAACAGCAGCCACTCTGTTTGCTCCTGTGTTCACCTGTCAACCTTTGCTCTCATCATGCAGACTAACCCACCTAAAGGAGATGATGTAAGATCAGTCAAAGCTTTAAAAACTATTGCAGTGGTGCAACTAATGAGGCATTGTTGTTATCATGTGTAGATCATGAGTTTGATCCCCAGTGAGTACTAGTGAGCATAACTGGCCTTACTCTCACTAGGTGGGTAGGAGTGATAGTGTTCTCATCCAAGCATGTTGAACTGTCTAGTGATGTTGTGTTAGCATCTGTTTGAAAAGATGTAGTGGCTAGCTTCAGATGTTGGTATTGTATGGAAGGTTGGAGGACTGTATGGACTGACAGCACCACACAGTTTTAACTTCTCACCTCAATTTTTTTTTAAACAATATTTAAATAATATGAGCTTTTCAAGGTAAATGAATTAATAATAATAATTTTACTAAAGGCTTTAATTACATGACACCTTTCATACATTAAATGCAGCTGAAAGTGCTTTAAAGTAAAGACAACAGAGAAGGATAAGTAAAAAAGATCATCAAGAATAGAACAACAACTAATAAAAAAATCCAACAAATAACAATAATAATAGAAAAAGGGCACAAAATGCATAAAACAGTGAGGATCATATAAATAAAAGAACAAAGCCGCTTCAATTTTTGAATCTTTTCTTTTTAATTTGTAAAACAAAAATGGTAAAAAATTACAACAAATGTTAAAATAAAAAGAATAAATTAAAACAATAGATAAAATAAATAAATGACACACACAGACAGAACAATTGCAGTTGTCCACAGCACAGTTGTATAAAGTATTATTTGAAATGTAATATATATGTGGCACACAAAATGTTTATCAAATGTATTTATGTATTTTAAACACAGTATTGGTTACGTCTGTTTCATTTGAAATCACTAAAAGTACAGATATAATCTAATATTTTTAAGGCTTTTAAAAAACTTTAATCAATTAATAAGTCAATTAAGATCCTCAGAGTGTACTCAAAATTCTTTCATTTTTGTATACAAATAATATTCTTTAAAAAAAAAAAAACAAAAAAAAAAACATGGATATACCAAGAGAAGACGATGTGACTTAATACACACGGCTGGTGCTTCTCAGCAGCATTGATTTCTGAGATTTTTTTACATTTATGGCATTTGTCAGAAGCTTTTTTCCAGAGCAATTTACATTTTTCACAGGTAGGTGAAGGTAGTGTTAGGAGTCTTGCCTGAGGACTCTTATTGGTGTAGTGTAGGGGGTTGAACTCCAGTGTACAGGGTAGAAGGCAGAGGTATTACCCACTACACTATACCAACCACTTTTTGGGTCATGTTACATGTTACATCAACCTTCACAATCTTTCTTTAGCATGTTTTTAAAAGCAAAATCCTTATCTTAAAATTTTGTTTGACTTGAATACAGGTGCAAACCAATTTGCATCTTGTCTTCTATAACGTTCTTCAAAAGTAAATAGTCAGCTAAAATATATTTTCTTATTTTTCTTAATTATTTAATCTTCTTTTAAAATAAATCAATTCAGGTGTTGAGATTTTATTGCAAGTAGAAATAAGCAGTACTAACTGTTGATTTCCAGAGTGACCCGCTCTTGGAGCTGCTCAACACGCTGGCTGTGGCAGTGGGCCTGGTGTTTCTGAGCTTGGCTCTGTTGACCTTTGCTCTTTGTCGTCAACACCTGAGAGTTAACGCCGCTCCTCTGATAAACCTGTGCATCAGCCTGTTTCTGGCTCACCTCCTCTTCCTTCTCACACAGGAATTACTGCAGTACATACTGATGATTCAGGTGAGAATAAGTACACCATGTTTATACTCATCAGTTTCATTTATCTAGCACCTTTCTCAAACCCGTGGACGCTTACAATTATGATAATAGCAAGTCCAATTACAAATCAAGAACACAAATAATACACATACATACACTGATCAGGCATAACATTATGACCACCTCCTTGTTTCTACACTCATTGTCCATTTTATCAGCTCTACTTACTATATAGGTGCACTTTGTAGTTCTACAGTTACAGACTGTAGTCCATCTGTTTCTCTGCTACTTTGTTAGCCCCCTTTTACCCTGTTCTTCAGTGGTCAGGACCCCCATGGACCCTCACAGAGCAGGTACTATTTGGGTGGTGGATCATTCTCAGCACTGCAGTGACACTGATGTGGTGGTGGTGTGTTAGTCGGTGCTGTGCTGGTGTGAGTGGATCAGACACAGCAGTGCTGCTGGAGTTTTTAAACACTGTGTCCACTCACTGTCCACTCTATTAGACACTCCTATCTTGTCAGTCCACCTTGTAGATGTAAAGTCAGATACAATAGCTCATCTGCTACTGCACAGTTTGTGTTGGTCATCCATGGCTGGATATTTTTGGTTGGTGGACTATTCTCAGTCCAGCAGTGAAACTGAGATGTTTAAAAACTCCTGCAGCACTGCTGTGTCTGACTATCTGGACTACAGTCTGTAACTGTAGAACTACAAAGTGCACCTACACAGTAAGGGGAGCTGATAAAATGGACAATGAGCGTAGAAACAAGGAGGTGCTCATAATGTTATACCTGATAGGTGTACAGGTCACCACCTGGTTGAGACAAAACTCTCCCAACCACAACCTAAAGTCTTCCAGGTCACAGCCCACCCAACCTCCGCCACAGTGGCACAAACTCTCTCAGCCTGTTCTTGGTCAACAATGGAAAAACTGCCATGCTGACCAAGAAAGTTCAAAATTTACTACAAAAGACACAAAACAAACCAGCAAGAATCCAATATAAAGCTGTTGAATAGCTGTTGATAAAAAAAAGCAATACAATTCTGTGGAGGCCAAGGTGATAAAGTAAATCTGTATAATTCAAATAGAATGCCAACAGTAGTCTCTCTCTCTCTCTCTCTCTCTCTCTCTCTCTCTCTCTCTCTCTCTCTCCACAGTTGGCGTGTGCAGTGCTGGCAGGTGTTCTGCACTTCCTCTTTCTCTCTGCTTTTGTGTGGATGTTCATTGAAGCTGTGCTGCTCTTCCTCTCAGTGAAGAACCTCACAAACATCAGATCAAAGCAGAACAAAATGCTTAATTGGAAATATCTGACAGTGATTGGATACGTCATTCCTCTGACTGTGGTGGGCGTGTCTGCTGGACTGGTTCCTGATGGATACGGCAGTGAACAGTGAGTGTGGAGAGTGGGCGTGGTTCCATCAGATGGGGTTTATTTTTCATAGTTAAAATTTTGTTGATTCTTTATCCAGAGTGTGTGAATATGAATTCATTATAAATGTGCATTGATTATTATGCATAGACTTCTAGTAGTGTGTCAGATTCACACCACAAGAACTAGAGATGACAATGTATTCCATGTTTACCTGTTTGCAGGTGCTGGATTAAGACAGACAGGAACTTTGTGTGGAGTTTTCTGGGTCCAGTGTGTCTTATTCTTACAGTAGGTTCTGATATAGCCATCCCTACAGTATGCTGAAGTAAAGGGCTGTCCAGTCTTATCTGCATAGAGCTGGCATGATAGCAGGATTTCACTGCAGTCAAACCGAATTACATGTGATTCCAATTTTTAATGAATTGTTTTCCTAAGCTGCTCTCCTGCTTGGCTGGAATGAGAACGTGCAGCCAGCCAGGTGTAAATTTATATTGCTCATTATAGCACTGATGTATTCAGTGTACTTATTCACCACATTTACAGCTCAACTTGATCCTCTTCATCATCATCATCATCATCACTCTCAGAAACACCCTGGCAGGACTGAACACTGAACATTCCAAAATCAAAGAAATCAAGTAATAAACGCGCATCTCATTCTCACATTCTGACATTCACACACACAAAACATTCTGGGATTAAAATTGAAATATTAATGTATAAAATGAAGAACAAATACACAGAAGGAATAACACATTCTTCAACCTCTCTCTCCCTCTCTCTCTCTCTCTCTCTCTCTCTCTCTCTCTCTCTCTCTCTCTCTCTCTCTCTCTCTCTCTGTCTCTCTCTCTCTCTGCTCTGTAGAACTCTTGTCTTTAAAACCCTGATTGTCATCCTCGGTTGTCCCTGGATCCTGGGTTTCTTCGTAAACGGCAGTAAGGTGTTGGAGATTATCTTCCTGTTCCTCAACTCCCAGCAGGGCACCTTCATCTTCCTGGTCCACTGTGTCTTCAACCACGAGGTCAGCCACCTCTTTGTTTTGTACCAGGTCTATGAGGCCAATGTAGCTAACAAATATTGGAAGTCTGTGTCACCCAAATTCTTTCTGGATGACACAACCTTCTACTACCTTCATTGCTTCATTTAGATTGGGCACTTTTTACTTCCTTCACTTTACCTCTACCTGCAGGTGAGACAGCAGTACTGGAAATGGCTGACAACTTTTTGTCCCCACTTCAAACCTCCAACTACGACAGACGATCAGAATAGAGGGAAAGAAGCTCGTTGTTTACAATCTCTTTAAAGGATGATAATAATAACCCTTTTGGATGATAATAATCCTAAATAATTTACTGCAAAAAGTGAACAAAAATGTATTCCAGACACAAATTAAATTTGCTCGACGGCAGAAAAAGACTGAATCAGTCATTCAAAGTACAATGAATAATAAAATACTGTTTTCTTATTATAGATTATGTAGACTTTATTCCTTTCCAGGTAAATCTAGTAGGAAAAAAAAGCCTATTGCAAAGCAAGTTTGTCTATCCTATTAAAATTATTTATATCAGCCCCTAAATTCCCGATTCCTACAACATTGTGTACGCAAGAATTTTCCTATTAGATAAATTAGACCCCCTTAAACATCTGAATGTTGATCGTTGGATTTCTTATTGTGTCTTTGCTTGTCACCACCCGAACCTCCTGCTCTCCTTCAAGGCAGGCTGCAATAGTTCATTATTAAACCAAATTCTAAGTGCAACTGACTTCTTTCCATTGAGGTATATAGTATTGGTTTTAAATCCTCAACTGTTTTGCATCTGTCTCTGCTGATATATCATTTCCGAGCCTGGTATTCTTATTATATGAGATAATCAAGTGTCATCAGAACAACCAGTGAAATCCTACACTGAAATACAGGTTCAGTGAACCTGATCTGTCTTATGTGGTTTTGAGATATGGAGGCACCAGGAAGATAGATTTGTTTGTATTGTTCTCCAGATACATATACTAACAGTGTTTCTTTACATATGCAAAAACAACTCCATCAGTCACGCATGGACTAATGAAACCTGAGCTGCTGAAAACCACTGCAGAGCCTCTTTGCCCCCAACACAAACACTCATGACCCACCCTTTACCTGCACAAGTGACTAGCATTAATATTATACTGTATTATATCATGAGCTGCTAATGCTACCTTTTCACCATCACAGTCACTCATTAGCTCAGGTTTTATTAGAAAAAAAAATGTTTTTAAATTTCTCTTTTTATTCACCCACTATAGGTTTATGGTTATCCATGACCTTTTCTAAGTCAAATAAGTAGTTATTTCAGACCTACACACTAACCATATTTTCACATTTGTTTTAAATGCTGTGACTATATCTACTTTCTGATATCCTAGTAGGTTATGGAAAAAAAAAAAAAATAGTGTACAGGCCATACTTTTATTTTTGGAGGTTCAGATTGACAATTAATCTCTCTATCTCATGTCTTAATAACGTAAAACTGATAATAATAAATACCAATAATAATTTTAATGGTTTTATTTGGTTAATATTTTCTTGTCAAATTCTTTATTATTATTATGTTAAGTGTATCTTTTATATTATTCTTTTGTATTGCTGTCACGCATTTAACAAACTCTCAGGAAGAGACAGACTTCATTTCCCAGAATACTCTGGGAGATCATGTGACTGAGAAACGTCATTCCGAGTCGGAGTCAGAGATAGACTCCAATACCCACAAGTCAATCTGGGATCACGTGACTTCTGACAAAGTCTCACGCACCTGTCAGCGCTCACAGTCTCCTGAGTATTAAACCTGCTTCACCTGTGTTCATATGATCTGTTTAGCTTAGTATTTAAGCCCAGGCTGTAGGTAGATCAGTGTGAGGTATTGTTTCCTGAGCGTTTATTTCTACCTGTATACTTCTGATTATCCGACCTTTGCTTTGTTTGTTACTTTGTCTTTTGCCTGCCCCTTTTTGTACCGTTGCCCTGTATTTTGGATCTGTGTTTTTGGAACTTGCTTGCCTGTTTTTCGACCACGTCTTTTGCCTTGTCCTTTTGGTTTTGTCCGCCTGGTGTTATGATCACCATTGTGATCATTCTCCATTCTCTGGGTTTGACCCCTGCCTGTGTATTGACAACGAGCTTTCTTAGAGATAATAAAACTTCTTTTACCAGTTTAATCCACACAAATCTGAACACTGCTGAATGGTTACAACTGCTCTGTTTTTTTTGCCTTAATTGAATGTTTTGTGATTTTTTAAATTATATTTACCAATATATTTTACCCTTCCAGGTCAGAGCATTATATCATTTATGACAGCCCCTTAGTACGAGGTAAAGAGCACTAGGGTTTACACTGTTCTGTGCACTATGGGTATGGTGAGTTTTAAGAAGTTATGCATATGGAGTGAATATGAAGGTAGTCTTTCTTCATCTCATCAAGAAGTATTTACAGTTGATCAGTATAATGGTATATGTATATTTTTCAGTATATATTTTTATCTTTTTCTGGATCTTGCATATTTGAGCAGTACTGATGTTCAGTGGACTGTCTGCACTGCATGCCTGTGAGCTGTCAATGTTCATCAGGCTGGAGGTTCACTAATCGTTCACCAAGGCAAATACTGAACAAATGGAGAAAAAAACACTGTTGTTATCTTTTCTGGGTTAGTCATCCAACAACAATCACAAAAAAAGTGTATAATATTCTGAGAGATAACCATGAACGCCAGAGTATACAGCCTGATCTCTTGCACTGGCTACTGTCAGTGTTCATGACTCCACCATCAGACAGCACTGAATAAGTAAGTAAGTAAAGTTTATTTATATTGCGCTTTTTACAACAGGTGTTGACACAAAGCAGCTTTACAAGGAAATCAACATTACAGAAAGAAATCCGGGTCCAAGCCCCCATGAGCGTCGCCAGTGGCGACAGTGGCAAGGAAAAACTCCCTAAGAGAAACAGGAAGAAACCTTGAGAGGAACCAAGACTCAGAAGGGGAACCCATCCTCCTCTGGTCGACACCGGATAGTAAACATTGGTAGTACAAAAACGGGGAAAACAGGTGGAGCAATGATTAATTTGATTAGTTTAGTTCATGCAGCAGCAGCGGCGGCAGCATCATTGGGGTCAGGTTATGAGGGTGAGGTTTGCACGGCGTAGTACAGCATGGAGCTTGATGGTGGTCAAGCCGGTCCAGAGGGCTGGCGAGCAGTGGCACCCGATCAAGGCAAAGAATTGTGTGTTTCAGGAGGATGGCATAAAGGCAGTCATTGCTCTCCAGGATGAACACTACTGTCTGTTTAAAGTTTCCTAAAGACTGCTGGGATAAAAATGTGGATCGATAATGTAAACAGAACTTTATGGCTTAATTGAGAAAACTGAACTCTGTAGTCCAGCATAATAGTCATTCCAACTGTGAAACATGATGGTGGCAGTACTCTTTCTTGCCTTGAGTTTGGAATAGAGAATTGGAACTGCTTACATAATTACATTAGACCAAAGAAACCAAAAATGAGAAAGTTCTCCGGCAAGTAAAGCCCTTTTTTGAATCAACAAATACATTAAATTACTATTTATTCAGAAGCTATTGACTACTTAAAACATTAGATTTAAAATATATGACTTACATACGACACTGCAACAAAAATTAGATGCTTTCACATCAGCAGATCTCATCAAACATTGGGTATCTCCAAACTACATGAGCATTAGATGACTCATGCAATATGATGAATAAATAGGCTATCAGAGTAATTAGTAGTCAGGTTACTGAGCTAAAGAATAAATTTGGGAATCTAGTCTTTCCTTGTCCAGTTCCACAGTGCTGTACAGCGGGTTCTCCAGAGCCTCTTCTGCAGTAGAGGAGGCTGCGCTGCTTGGCTGGTTGATCTTCAGGTGTTGAGTCAAGAAAGAGATAATTAGGTATAAATTATTTCATGATCCATTAAAAACTAGATGCAGCGAGATACTGGTTGTCCACTAGAGGGAGCCACACACTAGGGTGCATAAAGCTAATGCTGAGTTCTCTTCATAACTAACAGCAGCAGCATTTCATAAACTAGTAAGAGCATTTTGGTTTTGGTACATTATATAACATGACACATGGTGTGCCTTTCTTAGTATAACTGGTTAGGGAAAAATACAAGGGAAGTAAATGAAAACAGAGCATATTATTGATGACTTACTTCAGTCTGGGGTATCTTAACTTCTGCATAGACAACATCTTTGCCAGGACCTGAAATGTAGAGGGAATATATATATATATATATATATATATAATATATATATATTTAATACATATATATTATTTAATTTGTTAATGTATTATAGAAATTATGCTTCATTGGATTCAATTTCAGCTATACATAAATTATCTATCAATTCTATGGGTCTAAACCATCGTGTACTAAACATTTTTCCCAAGTATTCTGGCTCTATAGAAGCAGGCATGACACCACACATGCTTTTATATGTTTCTACAGAACTCAATCTTTATAGTCGTTGATCATTTAAAAGAATGCTTTTTTTTTCATAAACAAAAACAAACATAGCAGCTGGCAAGACACAGATGGTCACTACCTCCAAGACCAAGTTAAACAAAGTTTCTGAACTCTGAATCCTGTATTGATTTCATTACAGGAAATGTTTTTGTATGTATGTCCTTCTAGAAGGTTCTCTTGTGAAAGGTAAAAAAAAAAAGAAAACAGTAGATTTGTTGTTTCTAAAAAGTCTTGGGATTCAGGAGGCTAGGAGACACCCAATCCTTCATTTTACTTCAAAACTAATGTAACATTAATCTAAACAGACACACAAAACATTTTAGATCTTTCATTCAAAATGGAAGCAAAAATCTAACCTTTATTTAAAGTATAATGATTGGAAAGAACTTTCACTAAATGGTCAGCTGTGACTTCCTGATTCACTGGGGAATATACATGAGGTGAAACACAGGCCAAATTCCCTCAATCATCCATCACTATGAGAAAGACCAGAGAAAACAGCAATGATGGATGACAAAACATTGTTGAGCTGCACAAAATTAGGAAATGGCTACAAGAAAATAGCTAACAGGTCACATGTTAGCTGGTAACCTTGCTACACCATGCGGTCTGAGAGTAACGCAAAAGGAGAAGGACGGTGCAAGTGCAAAGAATCTCTAAAGATCACAAATGGTGAATTGGCGACATTAGTAAGGTCTTGGGGTCAGAACGTCTCCCAAATTACAATCAAACACCACCTATATGACCACAAGTTGTTTGGGGGGGTTGCCAGAAGAAAACCACTGCTGTGAAGGACTAATAAACTCAAGCTCTTGCAGTTTACTGGAACTTTAAGTGTTTTGTGGTCAGATGAGACCAAAATAAAGGTTTTTGGCAACAAACACCAGAGGTGAGTTTGGAGTGGACACAAAGATAGCCATGCAGCAAAATACCTCATCCCTACTGTGAAGTGTGGTGGTGGATCTGTGATACTGTGGGGCCGTTTTTCTTCCAAAGGCCCATGATAGTATATTCAGATCCATGATATCACAGACTCCATCAAGTACCAGCAGAAATAAAATCAAAACCTGACTGCCTCAGCCAATAAGCTTAAACTGGGCCATCATTTTGATCTTTCAGGAGGATGATGATCCAAAGCTCAAATTCAACACAAAAATGGTTCACTGACCACAGAATTAAGGTTTTGCCATGGCCACCCCAGATCCCTGACCTAAAACCCAAAGAAAACCTCTGGGATGAGCTGAAGAGGACAGTCCACAGTGTGGACCTCAGAATCTGAAGGATCTGGAGAGGGTCTGTAAAGAGGGATGATTGCAGAACCTTGGCCATGTGTTCTCCAGTCTCATTAAGCATTATGGGAGAAGAGTCAGAGCTGTCATCTTGGCAAAGTAGAGGGGGTGGGGGTCCAAAAAGTAATAATTGTGGCACACAAATTTGAGAAAAATAATTATTGCCTGATAAGATTTAGAGTTTTTTCCAACCATTGTACTTCAAATAAAGGTTAGGTTTTTATTTAATCAATGTTCTTCAAATTTGATATATATATATATTGTTCTTACAGGAAACAATATTCAATCTCTCCACAAATACTGCAGATACTGTTACCTTAGTATTAAACAAGCTCTCCTGAGGGCGTCTATAGAATATTTGCATGCTGTCCTGACCTTTTGGCCCTCGGCCCACAACAAACAAGAGAGACAGTCTTGGCACCCCTGCTATAGAGAGAGTGCTTGTTTGTGGATTTAGCTGTAAGGTGTTTGTTTGTGCACTTACCTTTGATTTCACTGGTTGCTCTATTAAACTTACAGAGTACAGTGAGGCACAGCCCAAATATGATCACCATGACAACCAGCCCAGCAGCGGTGTACATTAGGGTGTCTGTAAGTCATGTAAAAACATGTACACATTTTAATGGGAACATTTTGAAACATTGCGGCCTCCATCAACACAAATCTATGATATTAAGTCATAAAATACAGTGCTGTGAAAAAGTATTTGCCCCTTCCTAATTTCTTCTAATTTTGCATGTTTGTCACATTTGAATGTTTCAGATCATCAAACTACTTTAATATTAGACAAAGATAACCCAAGTAAACACATCATGTTTTAAATGACAGTTAAATTTATTGAAAATGCTTTGTAGCCCTACCTATGTGAAAAAGTAAGTGCCCCCTCTGCTACTAAATCAACCAGCTAACCAAATTTAATGGACTATTGGGTTCAGTTTCACTAGCCACACCCAGGCATGATTACTGCCACACTGGCCGAGTCAAAGTCCTGACTTGAATCCCATTGAGATGCTGTGGTGAGACCTTAAAAGGGAAGTTCATGCTTGAAAACTCTCCAATGTAGCTGAATTAAAATAATTCTGCAAAGAAAAGTGGGCCAAAATTCCTCCACTGCGATGTAAAAGACTTATCGCAAGTTTTCGCAAATGTATGATAGCAGTTGTTACTGCCAAGGGTGGCACAACCAGTCATTAGGTTTTGGAGGCACTTACTTTTTCACATGGATGATGTAGGTTTTGAATAAATCTTAATGCAATAATTAAGTTAACAATTATTTAATAGTAACATGTTCATAAATAAATGGTACCACTTTAATTATTTTAGCAGTGTCATACAATAGTCTAAAATTATTTTTCATTGTAAGAAATGAGTAAAAAAATATTATTATTGAACATTTTCTTATTTGCATAAAGATTCCTAATAATTATGAATTAATTATCTATATTTTGTTTTAAATGATTACATAGTTATTTACTATACTGATACTGTTTGATGCATAAACCTTTTTTCTTAATGATTAAATAATCTTTATTTAGTGGTTAATGTTTATTATGAAGTTCTGACTTTATAACATATTTATAAAGACATGTTGTCTAACTAAATTGACTGGCATTATAAAATGTTGCAAATGATTATCATATGAATGCATTTTTAGATGATGAAGAGTTAATAAATAATGATGAAGATACCTCTGGTAGGTGATGAGACATTGTGCTGAGCTGGAAATGCTGATTTAGGTGTGGAGGAGGAGGTGGTGGATGGTGAGGTGGTGGAGGGAGGGACAGTGGATGAAGAGGAGGTGAAGAACTTCGATCTCACTGTTCTTACAGCAGCAGCTGTTGGAGTAGCTTTGGGTGCGTATGTGTCGGGGGAGGGAGCTGCATATGAGAGATGTAAATAAATAAATGTTATTTCCAATTATATGATTAATATTCACAAAAACACACTAATGAAGTCATGCGTGAAGGGCAGTTTAATAAAGGCTCATTACCATCTGTAACTGTGAGTAGCACCTTGTGATATGTGTCCTTCATATATCTGTCCACTCCACACCAGTAAGTTCCATTGTCTGATTTCTGGAGGTCAGTGATGACCACAGTGAAGACTCCATTCCCTGAATCCTCCAGTCTGTATCTTCCAGTAGGTGACTGACCAGATTTAATCAAATTGTGCTGATCTTTACATGGATCTCTGCAGAAATACTTTGTGTTGGTTCTAGCTAAGTAGTGAGAACACTCGATCTTCACAGATCCTCCAACATGTCCTGACACTCTGATAACTGACGCCTCAACAGTCACTTCTGTCACAAATACACACACAGAAAAACAGATGTGCAATTAAAGTAATCTAAAAGAAAACACAGGTTCATCCAACAAAGGCCATTAAGGTTTAAGGTCCAGTCATACAGCTCTCTCCTCACACGTTTGACGATTCAGAGGAAATGACAAAGCGTTAGAGGCGGAGTTTGTAGAACTGTAAACTTTGTAGAACTGCTTTGGCTGCAGAGTCAGTGTGGTTTCATGTACACAACTTTCATTTCCTGTTTAAACATGTTCACTTTATGAATACGGTTACTATGTAAAATATGTGGATGGCTGGACACGGACAAACAGACTTTATCCATCTTCGAGGGGAAATTTAGGTGCTTCAGTAGCTAAATAACATGGAACATCCTATAAATTATATATAAACATATAAACATTATATAAACAGATTAAATACACTTAATTACACAGTATTTACACATGCATACAATGTAGGGACACCTGTGCATGAACAAAACAAAGTGCAGAAGACATAAACTGCTGAAATCTTTGTTGTTTGTGAGAAATTGAGTATTGTCAGTTAATGTAGTTTGTGATAATTATACAGATTTTCTCTGAGCACATTGAGGCTGATTGTACACGGGCTTGTCAAGCTTGTTTTCTTGTTAGCAGGGTCAGCTGCACTTTATCATTCTGCTATTAACTGCATCACCATACAGTCTCTCAGGGTTCAGATATGAGCTCTACCACCTCACTCAGCATTACCATGAAGATATTAGAGAAGTGAACTACTTTACTCTTAGATATACATTCTGTATATATTCTTGTTTGCAGGTCAGGACTTACCAGAGAGAAGAATCCAGATGACCATACAAAAGTACCTCATTCTGACCATTCTGGATAGATGTACTCTCTTTCAGTAGTTTCAGAAGCTTTTTGTGACCTTTCTGTGTCTTTGCTTGTTTCTGTATTGTGGCATCTTAAGGAGGAACTGACAGCTGAACAGCAGCATCGCCTTGACCACAATTAGTGGTTTAGACCAGGAAACAAGTTTCACTCTCTTTCTCAGACTCTCTGTTTGTACTGTATATGTTGTATTAGGCCACAAGGCTGTTAATTTGATTTTACATTGTCCCTTTGAATTTCATTACAAGATCAGTTTTTGCTTCACAGTATGTTTGTGAGCTTCTTTACTGTGAGAATATGAATGATCAGAAAAATGTGTACAGCCACCATGAAAATTTGTGTAAAGTTTTATTCTTATATATCTTTGATGAAGTTTCTCCCACATTCAATACAGACATTTGTGCTCTGTGTAGTGCCTAGACTCCCCCCAATACACACACCCCTGCCAAAAGCGGAGCCCATGGCGTGTCCACATTGCTCAAGCGCTCCAGCCCAGCTCCCCAGTTCTTCCTGTGTTGAAGCATAAAACAGCCCCAAACATGGCAGCTCCCAATGCTGCTCTTCAAAATAAGAGTCCTCCAGCATAACAACCTCCTGAATTACCCCAAACACATTTCCTGAACACACTACAGTACTATTTGTTTGTCGATGGCAAAAGACTACAACTAGTTTGCAAGCAGCCAAATACAAATCTCATATCCACACTGATAAAAGACGGAACAACTTGTAGGGAAAATGTTTTTATTAATTGTCTTGTTTGTGGCTGATCTTTTAAGTGTTACTTTCTGTTTCTAGAAATCAAGCATTCAGTGTGGCTCATACCTGAGACCATCTGAGGGTCAGCGCTATCAGATCAAATAAAAACTGCACCAGATGAATTTCAAGCTAAAAGACACCAGTGAATGTAAGAATACATTGAGCCAGATTTAAGAGGCACTACATAAACTGACGCTCTGTGCTGGTGGGCACGGCTTATTTAGCAGCTTACACATGCAAAAGAACAAAGGTGCAAAATTGTAAATAACATATTTTACATATAATTATGCATAATTAACATACAATTAACATGTGAGCAACACAATACAACCATGTGTGACTCGTGTTAACATGTTTTTGAATGAAAGCCCTTTTCCCAAAGGTAGTGCACCACATATGAACGCACATTAGTGTAGTATGTACTAGTATAGAAATGTATTGTTTAGAAAGCAGGCATTTTTTCGTAGGAAATGCATGTATGTCAAAGGAGGCTGGAGATCCATAACTAAAATCATCATAACTTGCTAAATATTTGACCGATTTTCAAGTGGTTTGGTTTGTTACAAATGCTAGACATGTACCTTTTGTATATGGCAACAGCATTTCTATAATATAATATTTAAGATTAACCCACCTTACGTATTTAGTTCTATAGTATAAACCTTTTTATTACTGTGTGTAAAATGGCTGCTGTGATGTAATTTTGGGAAAAAAATGAAGATTTAATTCATAAAAAAGACAAAATTACAACAAACACTGTGTTAAAATATTCAGTAAGCTTCAAAATCTAACAAGCCTGTCATCACAACAGTGAAAAGGTGGACCAGTGGAGACACTCAAAAGCTACAGGGCTGCTTTGAATCCACAAACTGGACTGTTTCTGAAGAAGCATCAGACAGTATTGGTGAATACACAGATACTGTGATGTCATACATCAGTTTCTGAGAGGACAGCTGCATTTCAACTACAGCGCAAGTGAAATACAGCAGAGACAAACTTTAGTTTTCAGCTAAACTCAGACAGGTTTGGAGGAAAAGGAGGCAACAATCAGGAGTGAGGACTGAATTCTCTACAAAAATGCCAAATACAAGCTGGACAAAGGGATTAAAGCAGCAAAGAAGAAATGCTCTAAAAAGCCCCATTGCTGCTACCTCGGTCTGGAAAGGCCTCCAAGAATTCAACAACTACAAGGCAAAAAAATGTACCCTTCTCAAGAATGACCACCAGGTCACTAATGACCTGAATGAGTTGTACTGCAGATTTGAAGGCACAAAAGACAATCTTCATTGTTTGCCATTCCCCCCACCCTACTTCCCCACCCCACTTCCCCACCCTGGCTCTCTCGCATCTGCCCCTAGCTCATCTCACAATCAAGAAACAGGACTTTACCAGGCTTTTCAGGAGACAGAAGAGCCAGACGGACTCTCACCCTAAAGCACTGCTGTGATCAACTAGCAGTAATTTTCACCAACATCTTCAACAAATCACCTGAACTTTGTTCTGATTCTACATGCTTCAAAACATCTGCCATCATTCCAGTCCCCAGGAAATGACTACATGCCGGTAGCCCTGACCTCTGTAGTCATGAAGGTCTTTGAATGCCTGGTCCTAGCCCACCTGAAGGCCATTTCAAACCTTCTGCTGGATCTTCTACCATTCATGGACAAAGCTAACAGGTGCATTGACAACATGGTCAACTTGGCACTTTTTACTAACATTAATTTTAATATTAACATCTCGACAGTCTTGGAACCTACATTCTTTCTACACCATAGTGCTGCCCCAGCTGTCTTTGGCAGATCCCATCTGATGGTGCATCACAGACTTCCTGACAAATAGGAGACAGCAGGTGAGGCTAGGAAAACACACATCAGACCCCTGGACCCTTAGTGCTGGAGTACCACAAGGTTGTGTGCTCTGATCCCTTCTCTGTTAAGTCTAGTGACTATGCCTCTATGGAACCAGCTGTGAAGATCCTGCAGTTTGCACATGACACCACTGTGGTGGGCCCCACAGCCAATGGTGATGACTCTGCCTACAGAAAGGAAGTCGAGCAGCTGATCTCCTAGTGCAGCAGCAACCTGAAGCTCAGCAAACAAAACACTGTACAGTTGGTGGTGGACTTCAGGTGCAACCCTCCCTCTCTACCCTCCCTTAACATCAATGACTTTGCAGGTTCCACTGAAGCTCCTGAGCACCACCATGTTCAGGGACCTGAAGTGGAAGAGAAACACATTCTCCATAGCCAAGAGAGCATAGCAGAGAATATTCCTCCTGAGACAATTGCTGCAGGGCCTGTTGAACAAGTTCTACACATGATCATCGATTCCATTCTCACATCATCCATAACCATCTAGTTTGTTTACTCCACCTCACAATAATGTGCCAAACTCCAGTGCATAATCGGGACAGCGGAGTGGATCGTTGGATGTAGTCTGCCAACACTTCAGTACATTTACAACAGCAGAGTGATAAGGAGTACTGGTAAAAGATAACCTGTCTCATCATGGACATCACCATTTTCAGACACTCCCCTCTGGTAGAAGATTCAGGCCTATCAAAACAAGCATAACCAGACACAGTTACAGCTTTTTCCTCAGAGCTGTGGCACCTATTCACCACTGTGGACACCTCGCACTTTAAACTACAACTAAACAGTCAAACCTCCTTGCTGTGTTACAGTAACTCATCTACAACAAAATGACTATTTGCGCAACTGTACAGACAGTCTATTTGTAAATATTCATATCATTCTGTAAAATTCTGAATACAGTAGCTTTTATAGTATATGTATACTCAGACCTGTTTATGTATAGATATTTTATCTGTATATGTACATATTCACACATCTCTTTATCTCCTCTGTGGCTCTTTATTATACATTATTTTTTATTCTTTGTTCTACTACTGTATTTTTATTGTAATTTCACTCCGACCATTTAGAGCCGGCATTTATGAGACAGAGAAACATTTTCCCCATCCTAAGTCTGATGTAATCTACATGCACCCTTCTCTTTGGCTTATCCAGCCACTCTCACAGATGTAATGGAGCCACTGGGGGAAGGTTTTTATCTCTTGACAGCCTCAACATGACTTCACAGAGGTTTCAATCTCTGCATCCAGGTTAGGCCACCAGACATAACGTCTTGATAATCCCATCATTCAAGTAATTCCTGGGTGACGTTGTTGTAGCTGTTTCATTACAGCTGCCCTCTAGGATTGTGGAATAACTACTCTGGCTCCCCATAACATGCATCCACCCATTATGCTTAATTTGTCAAAGCTAAAAGCAGCATTGTCTACTTTCCTCAGCCACCCTCTAAGAACATACTCTCTTACTCTAATAAGAACTGCATCTCGATCAGTCCATTTTCTCACCTGCTCAGCTGACACAAGGGGAACATCACTCTCTGCCAGAAGAAGCACTCTCTCTGTGTTCTCCTCTGATAGTTGTTTCCCTTTTTCATCAAGGGCAGTCAAGGCATCAGCATACCTATACTCTTTTCCAACTTAGGAGGAAGTCAGTGATAGTAATTTAAGAGCCCAAGGTAAGCCTTTAATTCTGTAACACTGCACAGAACAGGTGCTTCCTTGATGAATGTGCTTGTGCTTCTTTTGAACCTCAGTTCACTGCTCTCTAGTTTCTGCAGTTCCTCTTCCAGGTTCTGTAGATGCTCTTCTTTGGTTGGACTGCTGACCAGGATATTGTGCTGGTACACTGTAACATTTGGAATCCCTATCATGGTTCTCTGAAAAATAGCTGGGCTAGAGGAAACCCAAAGTAGTCTGGAGTGTGTGTACAATCCTTGGTGTGTGTTGATGGTGACATGTTTCCTTGAACTTTCATCAAACACCATCCATTGATAGGCATGGCTCATGTAAAGTTTAGAGAAATGCTCTCCTTCAGCTAAATGGGAAAACAGATCTTCAGTGCTGGGGATGGAGTATTGCTGGACGCTGTATTGACAGCGAGCTTCTAGTCCACACAAATCCTTACATAGTTATTGAGTTTAATGACAGGGACAATAGGAGCAGCCCACTCTGAATACAGGTTCAATGATTTTCTCTTCTACTAACCTCCTGCTCTACCAAGGGCTTCACTGCTTATGGGACTGGTCTCACTGTATAGATAGGTTGTGCTTCCTTGTCTACTAGGATGTTGGGTTCAGTGCTGTTTTTGCCCCAGTCCTCCTTTGAATACTTCAGCATACCTTTCTAAAACCTCATCTACCTTTAGCTTGGACTTCACCAGCACCTTGTTGTTTGGTTAAGTCTCCAATGAAAGCTCTTTAAGCCACCCTCTACCAAGTTAGTTTGACCCACGACCAGTGTTTTCTGTTAAATGGGTCTCTACTGTCACTTGTGTCACACTCAGCACCCCTAATTTCTCTCCTTTATATGTTTTCAGCTGCAGGGAGGAGTGTTCCAACTCTGGAACTATGCCTTTTTACCACATCTTGGAGTAATGCTCTTTGCTAATGACTGAAACTATGAGCTCTGTTCCATCGACTGTTGCATGCCCTTCAGATATCCGAGTTGTAGCTACTGAATCCTCAGGAAGGTGTTGATTTCATTGCCTAGCTTATTTATAAGGCTTTCTTGAATGTTAAATCCACTTCTGCTTACAGCTGCCTTTGTATCCTGTCATTACTCACACTGCACAATCGCCAACATCTGTTTCAGAGCCTCGCCATAGTTCTCTGCATAATTTCATGAGGCTTAGGGTTAAAATGAGCTTTGAGTAAGTCCACCAGCTCTTTGTACATTTTGTCACTTGGCTTTTATGGGTACAACAAGCTTCTCATTAGACAGTATGTAGTAGCACCCATACCACACAATAGAATGGCCTTTTTGATCAGTCTTATCACCATCTGCAACATCATTAGCCAGACAAAAATAGTCCCACATTTTGCAGTATTTCTCCCTTGATTGGGAATTACTATCAAAAAGAATCACATTTTCATTTCCAGGCAGTTGCAGGTAAGTCTGTGCAAACCTTTATCGTGCAGTCCTTTGTGTTGGCCAGCTCACCCTGCTGCTTTTTGCTAGGGCTCTGCATACCAAAGCTTTCACACAGCCCATCAGGTTGCAGCCCATTGTATCATGAGGGAAGCTACAAATGAGGTAGAGAGGATTTATTTAACACTGATTTCCTTTAATTCTGCAGATGTGTGGTAAGATGAGAGGACTTCTCCCCTACTCTCAGAGGGTTATTATGCTGAGAGCATTCTAGCACCTCCTGCTGGACACAAAGTTGTTTGTAATAAACAATATTATACTTGTTGCATTCACTCTGGTTCACATATATTAATGCAGCTCAGCAGCAAGTTTAACATTTAAAGCTGTACAATGTAAGTTTTGAGGATTTCATGGAACATCTAGTGTGAATATGTAATTGTGCAAAATTACTATTTCAGGCTTTACAGGGTCACTTCTTGCAGTTTTAACAAAAAAATAAAAAATAATAGTGCAGCTCTAAACAATGGAAAACTAAAAAAAACTGAATTGAAATGAAATTGCAGTGAAGATGATGGTCTTTTTCTATGCCAGAAAGTACTTTTGGTGCCTAGTTGTACAGTGAAGCTGTTAGTACTGCACGGCCTGATGTATTACTACATTTGTGTTAGTATAACATTACAGTAGCCATATAATAAGATGTTTAGATACAATAAGATACAGTACAAACTACCATAACTGTAAAAGGTTTTCTAGAATCCAGTGTAGAATGCTGTATAAAATGTAAAACTCAGTACACCACAATAGAAATTACAGCTTTTTTATGGCACACCAAAAACTCACCATTTCTAAAATAAAACAGGAGTTCTTGTTGCAAACAATACAACAGCGACTATTTCCAGGAATTCAAATTTAAATCCTTTTTTTTTTTTAATAAATAATAATAGTAATAATAATCTAAATACGTAATAGAGGTAACTGATGTTCTTAATGTTTAATTTTTATTCCTCTTCTAGTGCACATCTTGACTGTGGTGAAAGATAAATAATTAGCTGTCTAAGCTGTAGATCACATGTGTGAGTAGTCGTTGCTCTTCAGAGTACAGCAGGTCGTCCAAAGCTTGGTTGTTGGGAGTCTCTGAGGTGAAGCTAGCAGAGCAGTTGCTGACAGTAAAACAGATGTGTGAGTGTAGATCTTCTTCTTCTAGACCAGCAGTGGAGGACATCGCTGAATTTAGATCACTTTGAAGCTGTTGAGGAAAGTAAATGAATGATATATGGATTCAGTAAAATATAATACATTGAGCTTTGTCAAGATAACGCTGGTTCTAAACTCATTAATTGTGACTTTACACCATATTTGATACTTCTTGGTGAGTATTGTTGGTTAGGAGTGGATCTAGGACAGGGTTATTCATACTGTGCTGTCCTTTAAATCTACTTTGCCTAACACTGTTATGGGTAGCTGATCTATAAGATAAATGAGTCACACTTTGAGGTCCACCCCCATCCTGTCGCCGGCCTGCTGATCTCCGGATCTGCTCACCTGGTCTTGGTATAGAATATTTTAATATAACAATTTCACTTTCATGACTGAATATTGTGCACTTACTTTTGAGTGCCTTTGTGATCCTCTAACAGTGTAGATTACAGCAGCAATGCTGAATACAATCATCATAGTGACAAGTCCAGCAGCAACATACAAAGGAGTCCCTAAAAAGACCCCCCCCACCAACAGAATTACACTGAGAGAAGTCTCTAGTATTTTGCATTGACCCTCCCAGTACTGATGTCTTTGGGCTGAAAGAAAGTGAAGACAATGGTGGTCCAGCTATACATTTACAGAGGGCCAAGCAATAGTAATTCAATGAGAAACCAATTTCAAATGACAGTTCCACCCACCGTGGGGAAGCTAGCAAAAAAAAGCTAGCTAGTTTGTTGATTCATGATGGAAGCCAAGAGTAGCATTACCGGTAGTGAGGAGGACATCGCTGTGAATTTATTATCCATGCCATTTCATAGATTAACTTTTAATGAAAAGTTGGAGTTAGTCTGTAAAGGATGATGTACACCAGAGCTTCATGCGTGGTGCAAAGCAATTACACGCGATACCCCTGGATGACAGGATTGACCAAGGAGCAAAAGCTTTACTGCTGGAGTTGCTTGCTGCTTGGTGCGGAGAGTGGGTCTTGGGCCAAAGATGGATTTTGTAATTTAAGAAGTTTATCCAAGCCAGCGCATTGCCATCAGAACGCTTTGGGTAATCTAAAAGCTACTATACACCGTAAAAACATTTGGGGGCACCAGAGCTCCAGTTGGATGAACAACAACGCTTGGATGTCATCACTCATAATCGAAAGGTAAACCGGGGTATTTTGAAAGGCCTTATTAACTGCATGGTCTTGGGCAAGCAGGCGATGCTGTTCCGAGATCACAATAAAGGAGCAGGCGCATCAAACAAGGAGAATTACCTGAAGTTGCAGGACTTAACATCAGAATATGACCACGACCTGAGCACTCACCTCGCCACATCAAAAGTCTTCAGTGGCCATTATTAAAAAATTCAGAACAACCTGATCAGCACTATTGCTAGCGTCACAGATAGCATGAAGGAAGAGGTGAGAAAGGCACCTTTCATGGCTGTCATGTTGAATGAGACAACAGACATTAGCAACGTTGCCCAGATGTCATAAGTGCTTCATCATGTGACTGAGGAGGTAAAATAATTCTTGGTAACACTTTCTATAAATGTCACCTTTGTAAGCATCTATAAACACATTAATAACATGTTATAATGTATTCATAAGGCATTATAAACATGGTTATAAATATTTATAAAAAAGAATGACACTGAATTACACTTTATAGCCATGTTTATTATGCATTATGAATTGTTAATATAATGCATTATAAATAGTGTTAATAACATGTTATAATGTCAGTGCCAAAGAAGTCAGTCCCAGCTTGGAGAGTGTAAAGTAAAGACAAATACCAAGCTAACGGTGGTGCACATTACCTTTCCCACATTGGGTAAAACACTGATGGCAGCACTAGTTTAAACTCTGACATTTGAAGCCTGTAATGTGCTTTACTGTGAATGTTTTAGTGTTTCAGTAAATTCTTCAGTAAATACTTTAACTTGAAGCCTCACTCTGAACACTGGAGGAGGCTTTAGTACAGTCCGCTTCACTTTACTTAGAGCAGACAAATAAAATTTATGAGCTCTTATAATTTGTTATGATCAGTACTTATAATGCATTATGCATTATTAAACATGGCTATAATGTATAATGTATTTTTATAAATACTTATAGCTATGTTCATAATGTCTTATGCATGCATTATAACATGTTATGAATGTGTTTATAGATGCTTACAAAGGTGACATTCATAGAAAGTGTTACTGAGTTCTTTTTCAAGTTTGATGATGTGACAGAAGACAGATGAGCAGAGGTCATAGCTACATGGCTGCTGGAGTTCTTGCAGGCCTGCGCAAAGTGTTCACTCAGTGTTACAATGGAGCAGCCATTATGGAATCTGGTTTGAATGGGGTGTAAGCGAAAGTGAAGGAAACCATTAGTCAGGCCCTCTTTGTTCACTGCTATGTCCACATTCTAAATCTCATCATCGCACAGGGAGCCTCCAAGATAAGAGAGCACAAGGTCTTCTTTTCGCATCTTTCTGGCTTGGCTTTTTTTTTTCAGCTGATTAGCAAAGCACACCAAACTGCTGGATGGTAGTTGCACATGTAGGCTTCCATGAGTAGCTCCTACTCACTGGTATTTCAATTCTCGATTGGTGTGCACAGCGGGAGCAATTTCCCGAGATGTTCAGGAAATTCAGATAGGTAAATAAAAATAAATAAATATTTACTTACTTATTCATTTACTGACCACTTTGCACAAGCCTGCACACGAAACGAGAATTGAATTACCAGTGAGTAGGAGCTACTCATGGAAGCCTACATGTGCAACTATCATCCAGCATGTAAAGAATGGATGACAGCATTGATATTAAAGAAAAAATTAAAAGTAAATATTCTCAAAGTTTATTGAAGGATGTTGTTTCTGTACAATAAAAGTCATGTAACTCTCCTAGGTGTTTGAACACATCATAGACCACCACATGGAGTTTGATGATGACACTGTCCATTGCGCTGATGGATTCATCACCCTCCTTCACAGCTTCCATTTCTGTTTTTGGTTGAAAACCTTCCACGGCATCTTCTCATATTCAGATGGTGTCTTTGGTATTCTCCAGAACAAAAGCCTCGATATCCAGTTTTCCCTGGCCAGAGTGGATGGGCTACACAGGACAACTGAATGGGAGAAAGAGAAGTTTGACAGCATCTATGAAGAAGCCCTGACTTTGGTTGGCCCTCTGTGTGGCCGTGGGGCTCAAAGAGACATTTCCGCACAGTACAAGGAGCTCTACAGCAGCGTAATTCACAGCCTCCTACCTCAGTTTGCCAACCACTTTAGGGACCACAAAAAGCTTGCATTCCTGGCCCTTCGGGACCCATAACAGTTCAGGCATCACAGTTACCATTTTTCCAATGCTGTATTTTCAAATTTGATGGAGAGCTACGGTGCATATTTCAATCAGCCTCTAACCTACACAGAACTCTAACTTTGTGGGTAAAAGCCCAGCCGATTCATCACTTTCTTCTTTAAAAAGAACTGAAAGAAAGCATGACACAAGTGTTCACTCTCACATGCCTCATGCTGGCAATCACTGTGTCCACTGCTTCTGTAGGGAGGTCATTCTCTGTGTTGAAGCACATAAAACCTTCTTGAGGAACACAACTGGGCAGGCCCAACTGTCAGACTTGGCCTTAATTTCCATTGAGAAGGAATTGTTGATGAATTTAAAAGCAAAATATCAGTTGCATGACCCCACCATCAACCACTTCATCCAAAAGGACATTTTGGAAGACATGGGTCCTGTTAGATCTGGCATAAAGCTAACAGCGCATTCCTCCATAAGAACATCATACCAGCAGTCAAACATGGTGGTGGTAGTGTGATGGTCTGGGGCTGCTTTTCTTCTGCAGGATCTGGACTACTTTTTATGATTGATGGAACCATGAATTCTGCTCTCTATCAGAAAGTATCTTAGATAAGTTAATAACCTAAAGCTTAAGAGCAGTTGGGTTATGCAGCAGAACCATGATCTGAAGGACACAAACAAGTCAATGTCTGAATGGCTCAAAAGAAACCAAACTAAGGTTTTGGAGTGGCTGATGGGATTTGAATCCCATTAAGATGCTGTGGCAGGACCTTAAACGGGCTGCTCATGCTTGAAAACTCTCTAATGTAGCCAAATTTAAAAATTGCCGCAAAGAAGAGTGGGAGAAAATTCCTCCGCAGTGATGTAAAAGACTCATCACTGGTTATCACAAACATTTGCAGTTGTTACTGCTAAGGATGGCAAAACCAGTTATTGGGATTAGGGAGGCAATTACTTTTTCACATTGGTGATATAGGTTTTGAATAAATCTTTATGATTACGTAAACAATTATTTAGTAGTTACATATTCATAAGTTAATGGTACCACTTGAATTATTAACCCTTTAGCAGTGTCTAAAATTATTTTCATTGTAAGAAATGAATTAAAAAAAGAATAATATTAAACATTTTCTTATTTGCATAAAAATTCCTAATAATTAGCAATTAATTATGTATATTTTGTTTTAAATGATTACATAGTTATTTAGTATAGTGCTACTTTTTGATGCATAAAGCCTTTCCTTAATGATTAAATAATATTTATTTAGTGGTTAATGTTTATTATGAAGTTCTGACTTTATAACATATTTATAAAGACATGTCGTCTAACTAAATTGACTGCTATTATGAAGTGTTGCAAATGATTTTCATATGAATGCATTTTTAGGTGAAGAAGAGTTAATAAGTAATGATGAAGATACCTCTGGTAGGTGATGAGACATTGTGCTGAGCTGGAAATGCTGGTTTAGGTGTGGAGGAGGAGGTGGTGGATGGTGAGGTGGTGGAGGGAGGGAAAGTGGATGAAGAGGAGGTGAAGAACTTAGATCTCACTGTTCTTACAGCAGCAGCTGTTGGAGTAGCTTTGGGTGGGTATGTGTGGGGGGAGGGAGCTGCATATGAGAGATGTAAATAAACAAATGTTATTTCCAATTATATGATTAATATTCACAAAAACACACTAATGAAGTCATGCGTGAAGTGTAGTTTAATAAAGGCTCATTACCATCTGTAACTGTGAGTAGCACCTTGTGATGTGTGTCCTTCAGATATCTGTCCACTCCACACCAGTAAGTTCCAGTGTCTGATTTTTGGAGGTCAGTGATGACCACAGTGAAGACTCCATTCCCTGAATCCTCCAGTCTGTATCTTCCAGTAGGTGACTGACCAGATTTAATCAAAATGTGCTGATCTTCATTACATGGATCTCTGCAGAAATACTTTGTGTTGTTGTCAGCAAACAGGTGAGAACACTGGATCTCCACTGATCCTCCAACATGTCCTGACACTCTGATATCTGACGCCTCAACAGTCACTTCTGTCACAAATACACACACAGAAAAACGTATGTGCAATTAAAGTAATCTAAAAGAAAACACAGGTTCATCCAACAAAGGCCATTAAGGTTTAAGGCCCAGTCATACAGCTCTCTCCTCACACGTTTGACGATTCAGAGGAAATGACAAAAGCGTTAGAGGCGGAGTTTGTAGAACTGTAAACTTTGTAGAACTGCTTTGGCTGCAGAGTCAGTGTGGTTTAGAGTGCTATTAGTGCTGCCACCCTGTACACGACTTTTGTTTCCTGTTTAAACATGTTCACTTTATGAATACGGTTACTATGTAAAATATGTGGATGGCTGGACACGGACAAACAGACTTTATCCATCTTCGAGGGGACATTTAGGTGCTTCAGTAGCTAAATAACATGGAACATCCTATAAATTATAGATAAACATATAAACATTATATAAACAGATTAAATACACTTAATTACACAGTATTTACACATGCATACAATGTAGGGACACCTGTGCATGAACAAGACGAAGTGCAGAAGAGAAAAACTGCTGAAATCTTTGTTGTTTGTCTGAGCACATTGAGGCTGATTGTACACGGGCTTGTCAAGCTTGTTTTCTTGTTAGCAGGGTCAGCTGCACTTTATCATTCTGCTATTAACTGCATCACCATACAGTCTCTCAGGGTTCAGATATGAGCTCTACAGTCTCTCTCAGCATTACCATGAAGATATAAGAGATGTAAACTACTTTTCTCTTAGATATACATTCTGTATATATTCTTGTTTGCAGGTCAGGACTTACCAGAGAGAAGAATCCAGATGACCATACAAAAGCACCTCATTCTGACCATTCTGGATAGATGTATTCTCTTTCAGTAGTTTCAGAAGCTTTTTGTGATCTTTCTGTGTCTTTGCTTGTTTCTGTATTGTGGCATCTTAAGGAGGAACTGACAGCTGAACAGCAGCCTCGCCTTGACCACAAATTAGTGGTTTAGACCAGGAAACAAGTTTCACTCTCTTTCTCAGTCTCTCTGTTTGTACTGTATATCTTGTATTAGGCCACAAGGCTTTTAATTAGATTTTACATCGTGCCTTTAAATTTCATTACAAGATCATTTTTTGCTTCACAGTATGTTTGTGAGCTTCTTCATTGTGAGAATATCAATGATAAGAAAAATGTGTACAGCCACCATGAAAATTTGTGTTAATTTTATTCTTATATATCTTTGATGAAGTTTCTCCCACATTCAATACAGATATTTGTGCTCTGTGTAGTGCCTAGACCCCCCCCAATACACACACACACCCCTGCCAAAAGGGGGGGGCGGAGCCCATGGCGTGTCCACATTGCTCAAGCGCTCCAGCCCAGCTCCCCAGTTCTTCCTGTGTTGAAGCATAAAACAGCCCCAAACATGGCAGCTCCCAATGCTGCTCTTCAAAATAAGAGTCCTCCAGCATAACAACCTCCTGAATTACCCCAAACACATTTCCTGAACACACTACAGTACTATTTGTTTGTCGATGGCAAAAGACTACAACTAGTTTGCAAGCAGCCAAATACAAATCTCATATCCACACTGATAAAAGACGGAACAACTTGTAGGGAAAATGTTTTTATTAATTGTTTCTTGTTTGTGGCTGATCATCTAAGTGTTACTTTCTGTTTCTAGAAATCAAGCATTCAGTGTGGCTCATACCTGAGACCATCTGAGGGTCAGCCCATCAGATCAAATATAAACTGCACCAGATGAATTTCAAGCTAAAAGACACCAGTGAATGTAAGAATACATTGAGCCAGATTTAAGAGGCACTACATAAACTGACGCTCTGTGCTGGTGGGCACGGCTTATTTAGCAGCTTACACATGCAAAAGAACAAAGGTGCAAAATTGTAAATAACATATTTTACATATAATTATGTATAATTAACATACAATTAACATGTGAGCAACACAATACAACCATGTTTGACTCGTGTTAACATGTTTTTGAATGAAAGCCCTTTTCCCAAAGGTAGTGCACCACATATGAACGCACATTAGTGTAGTATGTACTAGTATAGAAATGTATTGTTTGGAAAGCAGGCATTTTCTCAAATGAAATGCATGTATGTCAAAGGAGGCTGGAGATCCATAACTAAAATCATCATAACTTGCTAAATATTTGACCGATTTTCAAGTGGTTTGGTTTGTTACAAATGCCAGACATGTACCTTTTGTATATGGCAACAGCAGCATTTCTATGATATAATATTTAAGATTAACCCACCTTACGTATTTAGTTCTATAGTATAAACCTTTTTATTACTGTGTGTAAAATGGCTGCTGTGATGTAATTTTGGAAAAAAAATGAAGATTTAATTCATAAAAAAGACAAAATTACAACAAACACTGTGTTAAAATATTCAGTAAGCTTCAAAATCTAACAAGCCTGTCATCACAACTGTGAAAAGGTGGACCAGTGGAGACACTGAAAAGCTACAGGGCTGCTTTGAATCCACAAACTGGACTGTTTCTGAAGAAGCATCAGACAGTATAGGTGAATACACAGATACTGTGATGTCATACATCAGTTTCTGAGAGGACAGCTGCATTTCAACTGCAGCGCAAGGGAAATATAGCAGAGACAAACTTTAGTTTTCAGCTAAACTCAGACAGGTTTGGAGGAAAAGGAGGCAACAGTCAGGAGTGAGGACTGAATTCTCTACAAAGATGCCAAATACAAGCGGGACAAAGGGATTAAAGCAGCAAAGAAGAAGTGCTCTAAAAAGCCCCATTGCTGCTACCTCGGTCTGGAAAGGCCTCCAAGAATTCAACAACTACAAGGCAAAAAAATGTACCCTTCTCAAGAATGACCACCAGGTTGCTGATGACCTGAATGAGTTGCACTGCAGATTTGAAGGCACAAAAGACAATCTTCATTGTTTGCCATTCCCCCCACCCTACTTCCCCACCCCGGCTCTCTCACATCTGCCCCTAGCTCATCTCAAAATCAACAAACAGGACTTTACCAGGCTTTTCAGGAGACAGAAGAGCCGGACGGACTCTCACCCCAAAGCTCTGCTGTGACCAACTAGCAATAATTTTCACCAACATCTTCAACAAATCACCTGAACTTTGTTCTGATTCTACATGCTTCAAAACATCTGCCATCATTCCAGTCCCCAGGAAATGACTACAGGCCAGTAGCCCTGACCTCTGTAGTCATGAAGGTCTTTGAATGCCTGGTCCTAGCCCACCTGAAGGCCATTTCAAACCTTCTGCTGGATCTTCTACCATTCATGGACAAAGCTAACAGGTGCATTGACAACATGGTTAACTTGGCACTTTTTACTACAACATCTCGACAGTCTTGGAACCTACATTCTTTCTACACCATAGTGCCAGAGCTGCCCCAGCTGTCTTTGGCAGATCCCATCTGATGGTGGATCACAGACTTCCTGACAAGTAGGAGACAGCAGGTGAGGCTAGGAAAACACACATCAGACCCCTGGACCCTTAGTGCTGGAGTACCACAAGGTTGTGTGCTCTGATCCCTTCTCTGTTAAGTCTAGTGACTATGCCTCTATGGAACCAGCTGTGAAGATCCTGCAGTTTGCACATGACACCACTGTGAGTAGAAGATTCTGGGCTATCAAAACAAGCATAACCAGACACAGTTACAGCTTTTTCCTCAGAGCTGTGGCACCTATTCACCACTGTGGACACCTCGCACTTTAAACTACAACTAAACAGTCAAACCTCCTTGCTGTGTTACAGTAACTCATCTACAACAAAATGACTATTTGCACAACTGTACAGACAGTCTATTTGTAAATATTCATATCATTCTGTAAAATTCTGAATACAGTAGCTTTTATAGTATATGTATACTCAGACCTGTTTATGTATAGATATTTTATCTGCATATGTACATATTCACACATCTCTTTATCTCCTCTGTGGCTCTTTGTCATACATTATTTTTTTTTATTCTTTGTTCTACTACTGTATTTTTATTGTAATTTCACTCCGACCATTTAGAGCTGGCATTTATGAGACAGAGAAACATTTTCCCCATCCTAAGTCTGATGTAATCTACATGCACCCTTCTCTTTGGCTCATGTAAAGTTTAGAGAAATTTGAAAGTTGTTGAAACAGATCTTCAGTGCTGGGGATGGAGTATTGCTGGATGCTATATTGACAGTGAGCTTCTAGTCCACACAAATCCTTACATAGTTATTGAGTTTAATGACAGGGACAATAGGAGCAGCCCACTCTGAATACAGGTTCAATGATTTTCTCTTCTACTAACCTCCTGCTCTACCAAGGGCTTCACTGCTTATGGGACTGGTCTCACTGTATAGATAGGTTGTGCTTCCTTGTCTACTAGGATGTTGGGTTCAGTGCTGTTTTTGCCCCAGTCCTCCTTTGAATACTTCAGCATACCTTTCTAAAACCTCATCTACCTTTAGCTTGGACTTCACCAGCACCTTGTTGTTTGGTTGAGTCTCCAATGAAAGCTCTTCAAGCCACCCTCTACCAAGTTAGTTTGACCCACGACCAGTGTCTGTTAAATGGGTCTCTACTGTCACTTGTGTCACACTCAGCACCCCTAATTTCTCTCCTTTATATGTTTTCAGCTGCAGGGAGGAGTGTTCCAACTCTGGAACTATGCCTTTTTACCACATCTTGGAGTAATGCTCTTTGCTAATGACTGATACTGTGAGCTCTGTTCCATCGACTGTTGCATGCCCTTCAGATATCCGAGTTGTAGCTACTGAATCCTCAGGAAGGTGTTGATTTAATTGCCTAGCTTATTTATAAGGCTTTCTTGAATGTTAAATCCACTTCTGCTTACAGCTGCCTTTGTATCCTGTCATTACTCACACTGCGGGATCGCCAACCTCTGTTTCAGAGCCTCGCCATAGTTGCAGTGTCATGCCAATTCTTTTAGAATTCTGCTAAATAGTCTGCCTTGCTTTCTCTAGTTCTGCACACTCTGGAATTGAACCTAAATCTCTGCATAATTTCATGAGGCTTAGGGTTAAAATGAGCTTTGAGTAAGTCCACCAGCTCTTTGTACATTTTATCACTTGGCTTTTGCAGGTACAACAAGCTTCTCGTTAGACAGTATGTAGTAGCCCCCATACCACACAATAGAATGGTCTTCTTTTATCAGTCTTATCACCATCTGCAACATCATTAGCCAGACAAAAATAGTCCCACATTTTGCAGTATTTCTCCCTTGATTGGGAATTGCTATCAAAAAGAATCACATTTTCATTTCCAGGCAGTTGCAGGTAAATCTGTGCAAACCTTTATCGTGCAGTCCTTTGTGTTGGCCAGCTCACCCTGCTGCTTTTTGCTAGGGCTCTGCATACCAAAGCTTTCACACAGCCCATCAGGTTGCAGCCCATTGCATCATGAGGGAAGCTATAAATGAGGTAGAGAGGATTTATTTAACACTGATTTTCTTTAATTCTGCAGATGTGTGGTAAGATGAGAGGACTTCTCCCCTACTCTCAGAGGGTTATTATGCTGAGAGCATTCTAGCACCTCCTGCTGGACACAAAGTTGTTTGTAATAAACAATATTATACTTGTTGCATTCACTCTGGTTCACATATATTAATGCAGCTCAGCAGCAGGTTTAATATTTAAAGCTGTACAATGTAAGTTTTGAGGATTTCATGGAACATCTAGTGTGAATATGTAATTGTGCAAAATTACTATTTCAGGCTTTACAGGGTCACTCCTTGAAGTTTTAACAAAAAAAATAAAAAATAAATAAATAATAGTGCAGCTCTAAACAATGGAAAACTGAAAAAACTGAATTGAAGTGAAATTGCAGTGAAGATGATGGTCTTTTTGTATGCCAGAAAGTACTTTTGGTGCCTAGTTGTACAGTGAAGCTGTTGGTACTGCATGGCCTGATGTATTACTACATTTGTGTTAGTATAACATTACAGTAGCCATACAATAAGATGTTTAGATACAATAAGATACAGTACAAACTACCTTAACTGTAAAAGGTTTTCTAGAATCCAGTGTAGAATGCTGTATAAAATGTAAAACTCAGTACACCACAGTAGAATTACAGTTTTATGGCACACCAAAAACTCACCATTTCTAAAATAAAACAGGAGTTCTTATTGTAAACAACCCAACAGCGACTATTTCCAGGAATTCAAATTTAAATCCTTTTTTTTTTTTAATAAATAATAATAGTAATAATAATCTAAATACGTAATAGAGGTAACTGATGCTCTTAATGTTTAATTTTTATTCCTCTTCTATTGCACATCTTGACTGTGGTGAAAGATAAATAATTAGCTGTCTAAGCTGTAGATCACATGTGTGAGTAGTCGTTCCTCCACAGTGTACAGCAGGTCGTCCAAAGCTTGGTTGTTGGGAGTCTCTGAGGTGAAGCTAGCAGAGCAGTTGCTGACAGTAAAACAGACGTGTGAGTGTAGATCTTCTTCTTCTACACCAGCAGTGGAGGACATCGCTGAATTTAGATCACTTTGAAGCTGTTGAGGAAAGTAAATGAATGATATATGGATTCAGTAAAATATAATACATTGAGGTTTGTCAAGATAACGCTGGTTCTAAACTCATTAATTGTGACTTTACACCATATCTGATACTTCTTGGTGAGTATGGTTGGTTAAGAATGGATCTAGGACAGGGTTAATCATATTATGGTGTCTTTTTAATCTACTTTGCCTAACACTGTTATGGGTAGCTGATCTATAAGATAAATGAGTCACACTTTGAGGTCCACCCCCATCCTGTCGCCGGCCTGCTGATCTCCGGATCTGCTCACTGGTCTTGGTATAGAATATTTAAATATAACAATTTCACCTTCATGACTGAACATTGTGTACTTACTTTTGAGTGCCTTTGTGATCCTCTAACAGTGTAGATGACAGCAGCAATGCTGAATACAATCATCATAGTGACAAGTCCAGCAGCAACATACAAAGGAGTCCCTAAAAAGACCCCCCCCCCACCACAGAATTACACTGAGAGTATTCTCTAGTATTTTGCATTGACCCTCCCAGTACTGATGTCTTTGGGCTGAAAGAAAGTGAAGACAATGGTGGTCCAGCTATAAATTTACAGAGGGCCAAGCAATAGTAATTCAATGAGAAACCAATTTCAAATGACAGTTCCACCCACCGTGGGGAAGCTAGCAAAAAAAAGCTAGCTAGTTTGTTGATTCATGATGGAAGCCAAGAGTAGCATTACCGGTAGTGAGGAGGACATCGCTGTGAATTTATTCTCCATGCCATTTCATAGATTAACTTTTAATGAAAAGTTGGAGTTAGTCTGTAAAGGATGACGTACACCAGAGCTTCATGCGTGGTGCAAAGCAATTACACATGATACCCCTGGATGACAGGATTGACCAAGGAGCAAAAGCTTTACTGCTGGAGTTGCTTGCTGCTTGGTGCGGAGAGTGGGTCTTGGGCCAAAGATGGATTTTGTAATTTAAGAAGTTTATCCAAGCCAGCGCATTGCCATCAGAACGCTTCGGGTAATCTAAAAGCTACTATTCACCCTAAAAAATTTGGGGGCACCAGAGCTCCAGTTGGATGAACAACAACGCTTGGATGTCATCACTCATAATCAAAAGGTAAACCGGGGTATTTTGAAAGGCCTTATTAACTGCGTGGTCTTGGGCAAGCGGGAGATGCTGTTCCGAGATCACAATAAAGGAGCAGGCGCATCAAACAAGGAGAATTACCTGAAGTTGCAGGACTTAACATCAGAATATGACCACGACCTGAGCACTCACCTTGCCACATCAAAAGTCTTCAGTGGCCATTATTAAAAAATTCAGAACAACCTGATCAGCACTATTGCTAGCGTCACAGATAGCATGAAGGAAGAGGTGAGAAAGGCACCTTTCATGGCTGTCATGTTGAATGAAACAACAGATATTAGCAACGTTGCCCAGATGTCATAAGTGCTTCATCATGTGACTGAGGAGGTAAAATAATTCTTGGTAACACTTTCTATAAATGTCACCTTTGTAAGCATCTATAAACACATTAATAACATGTTATAATGTATTCATAAGGCATTATAAACATGGTTATAAATATTTATAAAAAAGAATTACACTGAATTACACTTTATAGCCATGTTTATTATGCATTATGAATTGTTAATATAATGCATTATAAATAGTGTTAATAACATGTTATAATGTCAGTGCCAAAGAAGTCAGTCCCAGCTTGGAGAGTGTAAAGTAAAGACAAATACCAAGCTAACGGTGGTGAACATTACCTTTCCCACATTGGGTAAAACACTGATGGCAGCACTAATTTAAACTCTGACATTTGAAGCCTGTAATGTGCTTTACTGTGAATGTTTTAGTGTTTCAGTAAATCCTTCAGTAAATACTTTAACTTGAAGCCTCACTCTGAACACTGGAGGAGGCTTTAGTACAGTCCGCTTCACTTTACTTAGAGCAGACAAATAAAATTTATGAGCTCTTATAATTTGTTATGATCAGTACTTATAATGCATTATGCATTATTAAACATGGCTATAATGTATAATGTATTTTTATAAATACTTATAGCTATGTTCATAATGTCTTATGCATGCATTATAACATGTTATGAATGTGTTTATAGATGCTTACAAAGGTGACATTCATAGAAAGTGTTACTGAGTTCTTTTTCAAGTTTGATGATGTGACAGAAGACAGATGAGCAGAGGTCATAGCTACATGGCTGCTGGAGTTCTTGCAGGCCTGCGCAAAGTGTTCACTCAGTGTTACAATGGAGCAGCCATTATAGAATCTGGTTTGAATGGGGTGTAAGCGAAAGTGAAGGAGACCATTAGTCAGGCCCTCTTTGTTCACTGCTATGTCCACATTCTAAATCTCATCATCGCACAGGGAGCCTCCAAGATAAGAGAGCACAAGGTCTTCTTTTCGCATCTTTCTGGCTTGGCTTTTTTTTTTCAGCTGATTAGCAAAGCACACCAAACTGCTGGATGGTAGTTGCACATGTAGGCTTCCATGAGTAGCTCCTACTCACTGGTATTTCAATTCTCGATTGGTGTGCACAGCGGGAGCAATTTCCCGAGATGTTCAGGAAATTCAGATAGGTAAATAAAAATAAATAAGTATTTACTTACTTATTCATTTACTGACCACTTTGCACAAGCCTGCACACGAAACGAGAATTGAATTACCAGTGAGTAGGAGCTACTCATGGAAGCCTATATGTGCAACTATCATCCAGCATGTAAAGAATGGATGACAGCATTGATATTAAAGAAAAATAAAAGTAAATATTCTCAAAGTTTATTGAAGGATGTTGTTTCTGTACAATAAAAGTCATGTAACTCTCCTAGGTGTTTGAACACATCATAGACCACCACATGGAGTTTGATGATGACACTGTCCATTGCGCTGTTGGATTCATCACCCTCCTTCACAGCTTCGATTTCTGTTTTTGGTTGAAAACCTTCCACGGCATCTTCTCATATTCAGATGGTGTCTTTGCTATTCTCCAGAACAAAAGCCTCGATATCCAGTTTTCCCTGGCCAGAGTGGATGGGCTACACAGGACAACTGAATGGGAGAAAGAGAAGTTTGACAGCATCTATGAAGAAGCCCTGACTTTGGTTGGCCCTCTGTGTGGCCGTGGGGCTCAAAAAGACATTTCCGCACAGTACAAGGAGCTCTACAGCAGCGTAATTCACAGCCTCCTACCTCAGTTTGCCAACCACTTTAGGGACCACAAAAAGCTCGCATTCCTGGCCCTTCGGGACCCATAACAGTTCAGGCATCACAGTTACCATTTTTCCAATGCTTTATTTTCAAATTTGATGGAGAGCTACGGTGCTTATTTCAATCAGCCTCTAACCTACACAGAACTCTAACTTTGTGGGTAAAAGCCCAGCCGATTCATCACTTTCTTCTTTAAAAAGAACTGAAAGAAACCATGACACAAGTGTTCACTCTCACATGCCTCATGCTGGCAATCACTGTGTCCACTGCTTCTGTAGGGAGGTCATTCTCTGTGCTGAAGCACATAAAAGCCTTCTTGAGGAACACAACTGGGCAGGCCCAACTGTCAGACTTGGCCTTAATTTCCATTGAGAAGGAATTGTTGATGAATTTAAAAGCAAAATATCAGTTGCATGACCCCGCCATCAACCACTTCATCCAAAAGGACATTTTGGAAGACATTGGTCCTGTTAGATCTGGCATAAAGCTAACACTGCATCCTGCCATAAGAACATCATACCAGCAGTCAAACATGGTGGTGGTAGTGTGATGGTCTGGGGCTGCTTTTCTTCTGCAGGATCTGGACTACTTGTTATGATTGATGGAACCATGAATTCTGCTCTCTATCAGAAAGTATCTTAGATAAGTTAATAACCTAAAGCTTAAGAGCAGTTGGGTTATGCAGCAGAACAATGATCTGAAGGACACAAACAAGTCAATGTCTGAATGGCTCAAAAGAAACCAAACTAAGGTTTTGGAGTGGCTGATGGGATTTGAATCCCATTATGATGCTGTGGCAGGACCTTAAACGGGCAGCTCATGCTTGAAAACTCTCTAATGTAGCCAAATTTAAAAATTGCCGCAAAGAAGAGTGGGAGAAAATTCCTCCGCAGTGATGTAAAAGACTCATCACTGGTTATCACAAACATTTGCAGTTGTTACTGCTAAGGATGGCAAAACCAGTTATTGGGATTAGGGAGGCAATTACTTTTTCACATTGGTGATATAGGTTTTGAATAAATCTTTATGATTACGTTAACAATTATTTAGTAGTTACATATTCATAAGTTAATGGTACCACTTGAATTATTAACCCTTTTGCGGTGTCTAAAATTATTTTCATTGTAAGAAATGAATTAAAAAAAAGAATAATATTAAACATTTTCTTATTTGCATAAAAATTCCTAATAATTAGCAATTAATTATGTATATTTTGTTTTAAATGATTACATAGTTATTTAGTATAGTGCTACTTTTTGATGCATAAAGCCTTTCCTTAATGATTAAATAATCTTTATTTAGTGGTTAATGTTTATTATGAAGTTCTGACTTTATAACATATTTATAAAGACATGTCGTCTAACTAAATTGACTGCTATTATGAAGAGTTGCAAATGATTTTCATATGAATGCATTTTTAGGTGAAGAAGAGTTAATAAGTAATGATGAAGATACCTCTGGTAGGTGATGAGACATTGTGCTGAGCTGGAAATGCTGGTTTAGGTGTGGAGGAGGAGGTGGTGGATGGTGAGGTGGTGGAGGGAGGGAAAGTGGATGAAGAGGAGGTGAAGAACTTAGATCTCACTGTTCTTACAGCAGCAGCTGTTGGAGTAGCTTTGGGTGGGTATGTGTGGGGGGAGGGAGCTGCATATGAGAGATGTAAATAAACAAATGTTATTTCCAATTATATGATTAATATTCACAAAAACACACTAATGAAGTCATGCGTGAAGTGTAGTTTAATAAAGGCTCATTACCATCTGTAACTGTGAGTAGCACCTTGTGATGTGTGTCCTTCAGATATCTGTCCACTCCACACCAGTAAGTTCCAGTGTCTGATTTTTGGAGGTCAGTGATGACCACAGTGAAGACTCCATTCCCTGAATCCTCCAGTCTGTATCTTCCAGTAGGTGACTGACCAGATTTAATCAAAATGTGCTGATCTTCATTACATGGATCTCTGCAGAAATACTTTGTGTTGTTGTCAGCAAACAGGTGAGAACACGGGATCTCCACTGATCCTCCAACATGTCCTGACACTCTGATACCTGACGCCTCAACAGTCACTTCTGTCACAAATACACACACAGAAAAACGTATGTGCAATTAAAGTAATCTAAAAGAAAACACAGGTTCATCCAACAAAGGCCATTAAGGTTTAAGGCCCAGTCATACAGCTCTCTCCTCACACGTTTGACGATTCAGAGGAAATGACAAAAGCGTTAGAGGCGGAGTTTGTAGAACTGTAAACTTTGTAGAACTGCTTTGGCTGCAGAGTCAGTGTGGTTTAGAGTGCTATTAGTGCTGCCACCCTGTACACGACTTTTGTTTCCTGTTTAAACATGTTCACTTTATGAATACGGTTACTATGTAAAATATGTGGATGGCTGGACACGGACAAACAGACTTTATCCATCTTCGAGGGGACATTTAGGTGCTTCAGTAGCTAAATAACATGGAACATCCTATAAATTATAGATAAACATATAAACATTATATAAACAGATTAAATACACTTAATTACACAGTATTTACACATGCATACAATGTAGGGACACCTGTGCATGAACAAGACGAAGTGCAGAAGAGAAAAACTGCTGAAATCTTTGTTGTTTGTCTGAGCACATTGAGGCTGATTGTACACGGGCTTGTCAAGCTTGTTTTCTTGTTAGCAGGGTCAGCTGCACTTTATCATTCTGCTATTAACTGCATCACCATACAGTCTCTCAGGGTTCAGATATGAGCTCTACAGTCTCTCTCAGCATTACCATGAAGATATAAGAGATGTAAACTACTTTTCTCTTAGATATACATTCTGTATATATTCTTGTTTGCAGGTCAGGACTTACCAGAGAGAAGAATCCAGATGACCATACAAAAGCACCTCATTTCTGACCATTCTGGATAGATGTATTCTCTTTCAGTAGTTTCAGAAGCTTTTTGTGATCTTTCTGTGTCTTTGCTTGTTTCTGTATTGTGGCATCTTAAGGAGGAACTGACAGCTGAACAGCAGCCTCGCCTTGACCACAAATTTGTGGTTTAGACCAGGAAACAAGTTTCTCTCTCTTTCTCAGTCTCTCTGCCTGTACTGTATATCTTGTATTAGGCCACAAGGCTTTTAATTAGATTTTACATCGTACCTTTAAATTTCATTACAAGATCATTTTTTGCTTCACAGTATGTTTGTGAGCTTCTTCATTGTGAGAATATCAATGATAAGAAAAATGTGTACAGCCACCATGAAAATTTGTGTTAATTTTATTCTTATATATCTTTGATGAAGTTTCTCCCACATTCAATACAGATATTTGTGCTCTGTGTAGTGCCTAGACCCCCCCCAATACACACACACACCCCTGCCAAAAGGGGGGAGAGCCCATGGCGTGTCCACATTGCTCAAGCGCTCCAGCCCAGCTCCCCAGTTCTTCCTGTGTTGAAGCATAAAACAGCCCCAAACATGGCAGCTCCCAATGCTGCTCTTCAAAATAAGAGTCCTCCAGCATAACAACCTCCTGAATTACCCCAAACACATTTCCTGAACACACTACAGTACTATTTGTTTGTCGATGGCAAAAGACTACAACTAGTTTGCAAGCAGCCAAATACAAACCTCATATCCACACTGATAAAAGACGGAACAACTTGTAGGGAAAATGTTTTTATTAATTGTCTTGTTTGTGGCTGATCATCTAAGTGTTACTTTCTGTTTCTAGAAATCAAGCATTCAGTGTGGCTCATACCTGAGACCATCTGAGGGTCAGCCCATCAGATCAAATATAAACTGCACCAGATGAATTTCAAGCTAAAAGACACCAGTGAATGTAAGAATACATTGAGCCAGATTTAAGAGGCACTACATAAACTGACGCTCTGTGCTGGTGGGCACGGCTTATTTAGCAGCTTACACATGCAAAAGAACAAAGGTGCAAAATTGTAAATAACATATTTTACATATAATTATGTATAATTAACATACAATTAACATGTGAGCAACACAATACAACCATGTTTGACTCGTGTTAACATGTTTTTCAATGAAAGCCCTTTTCCCAAAGGTAGTGCACCACATATGAACGCACATTAGTGTACTATGTACTAGTATAGAAATGTATTGTTTGGAAAGCAGGCATTTTCTCAAATGAAATGCATGTATGTCAAAGGAGGCTGGAGATCCATAACTAAAATCATCATAACTTGCTAAATATTTGACCGATTTTCAAGTGGTTTGGTTTGTTACAAATGCCAGACATGTACCTTTTGTATATGGCAACAGTAGCATTTCTATAATATAATATTTAAGATTAACCCACCTTACGTATTTAGTTCTATAGTATAAACCTTTTTATTACTGTGTGTAAAATGGCTGCTGTGATGTAATTTTGGAAAAAAATGAAGATTTAATTCATAAAAAAGACAAAATTACAACAAACACTGTGTTAAAATATTCAGTAAGCTTCAAAATCTAACAAGCCTGTCATCACAACTGTGAAAAGGTGGACCAGTGGAGACACTGAAAAGCTACAGGGCTGCTTTGAATCCACAAACTGGACTGTTTCTGAAGAAGCATCAGACAGTATTGGTGAATACACAGATACTGTGATGTCATACATCAGTTTCTGAGAGGACAGCTGCATTTCAACTGCAGCGCAAGGGAAATATAGCAGAGACAAACTTTAGTTTTCAGCTAAACTCAGACAGGTTTGGAGGAAAAGGAGGCAACAGTCAGGAGTGAGGACTGAATTCTCTACAAAAATGCCAAATACAAGCGGGACAAAGGGATTAAAGCAGCAAAGAAGAAATGCTCTAAAAAGCCCCATTGCTGCTACCTCGGTCTGGAAAGGCCTCCAAGAATTCAACAACTACAAGGCAAAAAAATGTACCCTTCTCAAGAATAACCACCAGGTTGCTGATGACCTGAATGAGTTGCACTGCAGATTTGAAGGCACAAAAGACAATCTTCATTGTTTGCCATTCCCCCCACCCTACTTCCCCACCCCAGCTCTCTCACATCTGCCCCTAGCTCATCTCAAAATCAACAAACAGGACTTTACCAGGCTTTTCAGGAGACAGAAGAGCCGGACGGACTCTCACCCCAAAGCTCTGCTGTGACCAACTAGCAATAATTTTCACCAACATCTTCAACAAATCACCTGAACTTTGTTCTGATTCTACATGCTTCAAAACATCTGCCATCATTCCAGTCCCCAGGAAATGACTACAGGCCAGTAGCCCTGACCTCTGTAGTCATGAAGGTCTTTGAATGCCTGGTCCTAGCCCACCTGAAGGCCATTTCAAACCTTCTGCTGGATCTTCTACCATTCATGGACAAAGCTAACAGGTGCATTGACAACATGGTCAACTTGGCCCTGCACTTTTTACTACAACATCTCGACAGTCTTGGAACCTACATTCTTTCTACACCATAGTGCCAGCTGTCTTTGGCAGATCCCATCTGATGGTGCATCACAGACTTCCTGACAAATAGGCGACAGCAGGTGAGGCTAGGAAAACACACATCAGACCCCTGGACCCTTAGTGCTGGAGTACCACAAGGTTGTGTGCTCTGATCCCTTCTCTGTTAAGTCTAGTGACTATGCCTCTATGGAACCAGCTGTGAAGATCCTGCAGTTTGCACATGACACCACTGTGGTGGGCCCCACAGTCAATGGTGATGACTCTGCCTACAGAAAGGAAGTCGAGCAGCTGATCTCCTAGTGCAGCAGCAGCCTGAAGCTCAGCAAACAAAACACTGTACAGTTGGTGGTGGACTTCAGGTGCAACCCTCCCTCTCTACCCCCCATTAACATCAATGACTTTGCAGGTTCCACTGAAGCTCCTGAGCACCACCATGTTCAGGGACCTGAAGTGGAAGAGAAACACATTCTCCATAGCCAAGAGAGCATAGCAGAGAATATTCCTCCTGAGACAATTGCTGCAGGGCCTGTTGAACAAGTTCTACACATGATCATCGATTCCATTCTCACATCATCCATAACCATCTAGTTTGTTTACTCCACCTCACAATAATGTGCCAAACTCCAGTGCATAATCGGGACAGCGGAGTGGATCGTTGGATGTAGTCTGCCAACACTTCAGTACATTTACAACAGCAGAGTGATAAGGAGTACTGGTAAAAGATAACCTGTCTCATCATGGACATCACCTTTTTCAGACACTCCCCTTTAGTAGAAGATTCTGGGCTATCAAAACAAGCATAACCAGACACAGTTACAGCTTTTTCCTCAGAGCTGTGGCACCTATTCACCACTGTGGACACCTCGCACTTTAAACTACAACTAAACAGTCAAACCTCCTTGCTGTGTTACAGTAACTCATCTACAACAAAATGACTATTTGCACAACTGTACAGACAGTCTATTTGTAAATATTCATATCATTCTGTAAAATTCTGAATACAGTAGCTTTTATAGTATATGTCTACTCAGACCTGTTTATGTATAGATATTTTATCTGTATATGTACATATTCACACATCTCTTTATCTCCTCTGTGGCTCTTTATTATACATTATTTTTTATTCTTTGTTCTACTACTGTATTTTTATTGTAATTTCACTCCGACCATTTAGAGCCGGCATTTATGAGACAGAGAAACATTTTCCCCATCCTAAGTCTGATGTAATCTACATGCACCCTTCTCTTTGGCTTATCCAGCCACTCTCACAGATGTAATGGAGCCACTGGGGGAAGGTTTTTATCTCTTGACAGCCTCAACATGACTTCACAGAGGTTTCAATCTCTGCATCCAGGTTAGGCCACCAGACATAACGTCTTGATAATCCCATCATTCAAGTAATTCCTGGGTGACGTTGTTGTAGCTGTTTCATTACAGCTGCCCTCTAGGATTGTGGAATAACTACTCTGGCTCCCCATAACATGCATCCACCCATTATGCTTAATTTGTCAAAGCTAAAAGCAGCATTGTCTACTTTCCTCAGCCACCCTCTAAGAACATACTCTCTTACTCTAATAAGAACTGCATCTCGATCAGTCCATTTTCTCACCTGCTCAGCTGACACAAGGGGAACATCACTCTCTGCCAGAAGAAGCACTCTCTCTGTGTTCTCCTCTGATAGTTGTTTCCCTTTTTCATCAAGGGCAGTCAAGGCATCAGCATTACTATGCTCTTATCCAACTTAGGAGGAAGTCAGTGATAGTAATTTAAGAGCCCAAGGTAAGCCTTTAATTCTGTAACACTGCACAGAACAGGTGCTTCCTTGATGAATGTGCTTGTGCTTCTTTTGAACCTCAGTTCACTGCTCTCTAGTTTCTGCAGTTCCTCTTCCAGATTCTGTAGATGCTCTTCTTTGGTTGGACTGCTGACCAGGATATTATGCTGGTACACTGTAACATTTGAAATCCCTTTCATGGTTCTCTGAAAAATAGCTGGGCTAGAGGAAACCCAAAGTAGTCTGGAGTGTGTGTACAATCCTTGGTGTGTGTTGATGGTGACATGTTTCCTTGAACTTTCATCAAACACCATCCATTGATAGGCATGGCTCATGTAAAGTTTAGAGAAATGCTCTCCTTCAGCTAAGTTGTCGAAACAGATCTTCAGTGCTGGGGATGGAGCATTGCTGGACGCTATATTGACAGTGAGCTTATAGTCCACACAAATCCTTACATAGTTATTGAGTTTAATGACAGGGACAATAGGAGCAGCCCACTCTGAATACAGGTTCAATGATTTTCTCTTCTACTAACCTCCTGCTCTACCAAGGGCTTCACTGCTTATGGGACTGGTCTCACTGTATAGATAGGTTGTGCTTCCTTGTCTACTAGGATGTTGGGTTCAGTGCTGTTTTTGCCCCAGTCCTCCTTTGAATACTTCAGCATACCTTTCTAAAACCTCATCTACCTTTAGCTTGGACTTCACCAGCACCTTGTTGTTTGGTTAAGTCTCCAATGAAAGCTCTTTAAGCCACCCTCTACCAAGTTAGTTTGACCCACGACCAGTGTCTGTTAAATGGGTCTCTACTGTCACTTGTGTCACACTCAGCACCCCTAATTTCTCTCCTTTATATGTTTTCAGCTGCAGGGAGGAGTGTTCCAACTCTGGAACTATGCCTTTTTACCACATCTTGGAGTAATGCTCTTTGCTAATGACTGAAACTATGAGCTCTGTTCCATCGACTGTTGCATGCCCTTCAGATATCCGAGTTGTAGCTACTGAATCCTCAGGAAGGTGTTGATTTCATTGCCTAGCTTATTTATAAGGCTTTCTTGAATGTTAAATCCACTTCTGCTTACAGCTGCCTTTGTATCCTGTCATTACTCACACTGCACAATCGCCAACATCTGTTTCAGAGCCTCGCCATAGTTCTCTGCATAATTTCATGAGGCTTAGGGTTAAAATGAGCTTTGAGTAAGTCCACCAGCTCTTTGTACATTTTGTCACTTGGCTTTTATGGGTACAACAAGCTTCTCATTAGACAGTATGTAGTAGCACCCATACCACACAATAGAATGGTCTTCTTTTATCAGTCTTATCACCATCTGCAACATCATTAGCCAGACAAAAATAGTCCCACATTTTGCAGTATTTCTCCCTTGATTGGGAATTACTATCAAAAAGAATCACATTTTCATTTCCAGGCAGTTGCAGGTAAATCTGTGCAAACCTTTATCGTGCAGTCCTTTGTGTTGGCCAGCTCACCCTGCTGCTTTTTGCTAGGGCTCTGCATACCAAAGCTTTCACACAGCCCATCAGGTTGCAGCCCATTGTATCATGAGGGAAGCTACAAATGAGGTAGAGAGGATTTATTTAACACTGATTTCCTTTAATTCTGCAGATGTGTGGTAAGATGAGAGGACTTCTCCCCTACTCTCAGAGGGTTATTATGCTGAGAGCATTCTAGCACCTCCTGCTGGACACAAAGTTGTTTGTAATAAACAATATTATACTTGTTGCATTCACTCTGGTTCACATATATTAATGCAGCTCAGCAGCAAGTTTAACATTTAAAGCTGTACAATGTAAGTTTTGAGGATTTCATGGAACATCTAGTGTGAATATGTAATTGTGCAAAATTACTATTTCAGGCTTTACAGGGTCACTTCTTGCAGTTTTAACATAATAGTGCAGCTCTAAACAATGGAAAACTAAAAAAAAACTGAATTGAAATGAAATTGCAGTGAAGATGATGGTCTTTTTCTATGCCAGAAAGTACTTTTGGTGCCTAGTTGTACAGTGAAGCTGTTAGTACTGCACGGCCTGATGTATTACTACATTTGTGTTAGTATAACATTACAGTAGCCATATAATAAGATGTTTAGATACAATAAGATACAGTACAAACTACCGTAACTGTAAAAGGTTTTCTAGAATCCAGTGTAGAATGCTGTATAAAATGTAAAACTCAGTACACCACAATAGAAATTACAGCTTTTTTATGGCACACCAAAAACTCACCATTTCTAAAATAAAACAGGAGTTCTTGTTGCAAACAATACAACAGCGACTATTTCCAGGAATTCAAATTTAAATCCTAATAAATAATAATAGTAATAATAATCTAAATACGTAATAGAGGTAACTGATGTTCTTAATGTTTAATTTTTATTCCTCTTCTAGTGCACATCTTGACTGTGGTGAAAGATAAATAATTAGCTGTCTAAGCTGTAGATCACATGTGTGAGTAGTCGTTGCTCTTCAGAGTACAGCAGGTCGTCCAAAGCTTTGTTGTTGGGAGTCTCTGAGGTGAAGCTAGCAGAACAGTTGCTGACAGTAAAACAGATGTGTGAGTGTAGATCTTCTTCTTCTAGACCAGCAGTGGAGGACATTGCTGAGATTAGATCACTTTGAAGCTGTTGAGGAAAGTAAATGAAAGATGTATGGATTCAGTAACATATACTACATTGAGGTTTGTCAAGATAACGCTGGTTCTAAATTTATTGTGACATTAAACCATATTTGATACTTCTTGGTGAGTATGGTTGGTTAAGAATGGATCTAGGACAGGGTTAATCATATTATGGTGTCTTTTTAATCTACTTTGCCTAACACTGTTATGGGTAGCTGATCTATAAGATAAATGAGTCACACTTTGAGGTCCACCCCCATCCTGTCGCCGGCCTACTGATCTCCGGATCTGCTCACTGGTCTTGGTATAGAATATTTTAATATAACAATTTCACTTTCATGACTGAACATTGTGTACTTACTTTTGAGTGCCTTTGTGATCCTCTAACAGTGTAGATTACAGCAGCAATGCTGAATACAATCATCATAGTGACAAGTCCAGCAGCAACATACAAAGGAGTCCCTAAAAAGACCCCCCCCCCACCACAAAACAGAATTACACTGAAAGTATTCTCTAGTATTTTGCATTGACCCTCCCAGTACTGATGTCTTGGGGCAGAAAGAAAGTGAAGATAATGGTGGTCCAGCTATAAATTTACAGAGGGCCAAGCAATAGTAATTCAATGAGAAACCAATTTCAAATGACAGTTCCACCCACCGTGGGGAAGCTAGCAAAAAAAAGCTAGCTAGTTTGTTGATTCATGATGGAAGCCAAGAGTAGCATTACCGGGAGTGAGGAGGACATCGCTGTGAATTTATTCTCCATGCCATTTCATAGATTAACTTTTAATGAAAAGTTGGAGTTTGTCTGTAAAGGATGACGTACACCAGAGCTTCATGCGTGGTGCAAAGCAATTACACGTGATACCCCTGGATGACAGGATTGACCAAGGAGCAAAAGCTTTACTGCTGGAGTTGCTTGCTGCTTGGTGCGGAGAGTGGGTCTTGGGCCAAAGATGGATTTCGTAATTTAAGAAGTTTATCCAAGCCAGCGCATTGCCATCAGAACGCTTCGGGTAATCTAAAAGCTACTATTCACCCTAAAAAAATTGGGGGCAACAGAGCTCCAGTTGGATGAACAACAACGCTTGGATGTCATCACTCATAATCGAAAGGTAAACCGGGGTATTTTGAAAGGCCTTATTAACTGCGTGGTCTTGGGCAAGCGGGAGATGCTTTTCCGAGATCACAATGAAGGAGCAGGCGCATCAAACAAGGAGAATTACCTGAAGTTGCAGGACTTAACATCAGAATATGACCACGACCTGAGCACTCACCTTGCCACATCAAAAGTCTTCAGTGGCCATTATTAAAAAAGTCAGAACAACCTGATCAGCACTATTGCTAGCATCACAGATAGCATGAAGGAAGAGGTGAGAAAGGCACCTTTCATGGCTGTCATGTTGAAAGAGACAACAAACATTAGCAACGTTGCCCAGATGTCATAAGTGCTTCGTTATGTGACTGAGGAGGTAAAAGAATTCTTTTTCAATTTGGATGACGTGACAGAAGACAGATGAGCAGAGGTCATAGCTACATGGCTGCTGGAGTTCTTGCAGGCCTGCGCAAAGTGTTCACTCAGTGTTACAATGGAGCAGCCATTATGGAATCTGGTTTGAATGGGGTGTAAGCGAAAGTGAAGGAAACCATTAGTCAGGCCCTCTTTGTTCACTGCTATGTCCACATTCTAAATCTCATCATCGCACAGGGAGCCTCCAAGATAAGAGAGCACAAGGTCTTCTTTTCGCATCTTTCTGGCTTGGCTTTTTTTTTTCAGCTGATTAGCAAAGCACACCAAACTGCTGGATGGTAGTTGCACATGTAGGCTTCCATGAGTAGCTCCTACTCACTGGTATTTCAATTCTCGATTGGTGTGCACAGCGGGAGCAATTTCCCGAGATGTTCAGGAAATTCAGATAGGTAAATAAAAATAAATAAATATTTACTTACTTATTCATTTACTGACCACTTTGCACAAGCCTGCACACGAAACGAGAATTGAATTACCAGTGAGTAGGAGCTACTCATGGAAGCCTACATGTGCAACTATCATCCAGCATGTAAAGAATGGATGACAGCATTGATATTAAAGAAAAAATTTAAAGTAAATATTCTCAAAGTTTATTGAAGGATGTTGTTTCTGTACAATAAAAGTCATGTAACTCTCCTAGGTGTTTGAACACATCATAGACCACCACATGGAGTTTGATGATGACACTGTCCATTGCGCTGATGGATTCATCACCCTCCTTCACAGCTTCCATTTCTGTTTTTGGTTGAAAACCTTCCACGGCATCTTCTCATATTCAGATGGTGTCTTTGGTATTCTCCAGAACAAAAGCCTCGATATCCAGTTTTCCCTGGCCAGAGTGGATGGGCTACACAGGACAACTGAATGGGAGAAAGAGAAGTTTGACAGCATCTATGAAGAAGCCCTGACTTTGGTTGGCCCTCTGTTTGGCCGTGGGGCTCAAAGAGACATTTCTGCACAGTACAAGGAGCTCTACAGCAGCGTAATTCACAGCCTCCTACCTCAGTTTGCCAACCACTTTAGGGACCACAAAAAGCTTGCATTCCTGGCCCTTCGGGACCCATAACAGTTCAGGCATCACAGTTACCATTTTTCCAATGCTGTATTTTCAAATTTGATGGAGAGCTACGGTGCATATTTCAATCAGCCTCTAACCTACACAGAACTCTAACTTTGTGGGTAAAAGCCCAGCCGATTCATCACTTTCTTCTTTAAAAAGAACTGAAAGAAACCATGACACAAGTGTTCACTCTCACATGCCTCATGCTGGCAATCACTGTGTCCACTGCTTCTGTAGGGAGGTCATTCTCTGTGTTGAAGCACATAAAACCTTCTTGAGGAACACAACTGGGCAGGCCCAACTGTCAGACTTGGCCTTAATTTCCATTGAGAAGGAATTGTTCATGAATTTAAAAGCAAAATATCAGTTGCATGACCCCACCATCAACCACTTCATCCAAAAGGACATTTTGGAAGACATGGGTCCTGTTACATCTGGCATAAAGCTAACACTGCATCCTGCCATAAGAACATCATACCAGCAGTCAAACATGGTGGCGGTAGTGTGATGGTCTTGGGCTGCTTTTCTTCTGCAGGATCTGGACGACTTGTTATGATTGATGGAACCATGAATTCTGCTCTCTATCAGAAAGTATCTTAGATAAGTTAATAACCTAAAGCTTAAGAGCAGTTGGGTTATGCAGCAGAACCATGATCTGAAGGACACAAACAAGTCAATGTCTGAATGGCTCAAAAGAGACCAAACTAAGGTTTTGGAGTGGCTGATGGGATTTGAATCCCATTAAGATGCTGTGGCAGGACCTTAAACGGGCAGCTCATGCTTGAAAACTCTCTAATGTAGCCAAATTTAAAAATTGCCGCAAAGAAGAGTGGGAGAAAATTCCTCCACAGTGATGTAAAAGACTCATCACTGGTTACCACAAACATTTGCAGTTGTTACTGCTAAGGATGGCAAAACCAGTTATTGGGATTAGGGAGGCAATTACTTTTTCACATTGGTGATATAGGTTTTGAATAAATCTTTATGATTACGTTAACAATTATTTAGTAGTTACATATTCATAAGTTAATGGTACCACTTGAATTATTAACCCTTTAGCGGTGTCTAAAATTATTTTCATTGTAAGAAATGAATTAAAAAAAAGAATAATATTAAACATTTTCTTATTTGCATAAAAATTCCTAATAATTAGCAATTAATTATGTATATTTTGTTTTAAATGATTACATAGTTATTTACTATACTGATACTTTTGATGCATAAAGCCTTTCCTTAATGATTAAATAATATTTATTTAGTGGTTAATGTTTATTATGAAGTTCTGACTTTATAACATATTTATAAAGACATGTCGTCTAACTAAATTGACTGCTATTATGAAGAGTTGCAAATGATTTTCATATGAATGCATTTTTAGGTGAAGAAGAGTTAATAAGTAATGATGAAGATACCTCTGGTAGGTGATGAGACATTGTGCTGAGCTGGAAATGCTGGTTTAGGTGTGGAGGAGGAGGTGGTGGATGGTGAGGTGGTGGAGGGAGGGACAGTGAATGAAGAGGAGGTGAAGAACTTAGATCTCACTGTTCTTACAGCAGCAGCTGTTGGAGTAGCTTTGGGTGGGTATGTGTGGGGGGAGGGAGCTGCATATGAGAGATGTAAATAAACAAATGTTATTTCCAATTATATGATTAATATTCACAAAAACACACTAATGAATTCATGCGTGAAGTGTAGTTTAATAAAGGCTCATTACCATCTGTAACTGTGAGTAGCACCTTGTGATATGTGTCCTTCAGATATCTGTCCACTCCACACCAGTAAGTTCCATTGTCTGATTTCTGGAGGTCAGTGAGGACCACAGTGAAGACTCCATTCCCTGAATCCTCCAGTCTGTATCTTCCAGTAGGTGACTGACCAGATTTAATCAAATTGTGCTGATCTTTACATGGATCTCTGCAGAAATACTTTGTGTTGGTGTCAGCAAACAGGTGAGGACACTCGATCTCCACTGATCCTCCAACCTGTCCTGACACTCTGATATCTGACGCCTCAACAGTCACTTCTGTCACAAATACACACACAGAAAAACATATGTGCAATTAAAGTAACCTAAAAGAAAACACAGGTTCATCCAACAAAGGCCATTAAGGTTTAAGGTCCAGTCATACAGCTCTCTCCTCACACGTTTGACGATTCAGAGGAAATGACAAAAGCGTTAGAGGCGGAGTTTGTAGAACTGTAAACTTTGTAGAACTGCTTTGGCTGCAGAGTCAGTGTGGTTTAGAGTGCTATTAGTGCTGCCACCCTGTACACAACTTTTATTTCCTGTTTAAACATGTTCACTTTATGAATACGGTTACTATGTGAAATATGTGGATGGCTGGACACGGACAAACAGACTTTATCAATCTTCGAGGGGAAATTTAGGTGCTTCAGTAGCTAAATAACATGGAACATCCTATAAATTATAGATAAACATATAAACATTATATAAACAGATTAAATACACTTAATTACACAGTATTTACACATGCATACAATGTAGGGACACCTGTGCATGAACAAGACGAAGTGCAGAAGAGAAAAACTGCTGAAATCTTTGTTGTTTGGGAGAAATTGAGTATTGTCAGTTAATGTAGTTTGTGATAATTATACAGATTTTCTCTGAGCACATTGAGGCTGATTGTACACGGGCTTGTCAAGCTTGTTTTCTTGTTAGCAGGGTCAGCTGCACTTTATCATTCTGCTATTAACTGCATCACCATACAGTCTCTCAGGGTTCAGATATGAGCTCTACAGCCTCAGTCAGCATTACCATGAAGATATTAGAGAAGTGAACTACTTTACTCTTAGATATACATTCTGTATATATTCTTGTTTGCAGGTCAGGACTTACCAGAGAGAAGAATCCAGATGACCACACAAAAGCACCTCATTCTGACCATTCTGGATAGATGTATTCTCTTTCAGTAGTTTCAGAAGCTTTTTGTGATCCTTCTGTGTCTTTGCTTCTTTCTGTATTGTGGCATCTTAAGGAGGAACTGATAGCTGAACAGCAGCATCGCCTTGACCACAAATTTGTGGTTTAGACCAGGAAACAAGTTTCACTCTCTTTCTCAGTCTCTCTGTTTGTACTGTATATCTTGTATTAGGCCACAAGGCTTTTAATTAGATTTTACATCGTGCCTTTGAATTTCAGTACAAGATCAGGTTTTGCTTCACAGTATGTTTGTGAGCTTCTTCATTGTGAGAATATCAATGATAAGAAAAATGTGTACAGCCACCATGAAAATTTGTGTAAAGTTTTATTCTTATATATTTTTGATGAAGTTTCTCCCACATCCAATACAGATATTTGTGCTCTGTGTAATGCCTAGACCCCCCCAATATACACACACACATACACACACCCCTGCCGAAAGGGGGGGGGGGCATGGCGTGTCCAAATTGCTCAAGCGCTCCAGCCCAGCTCCCCAGTTCTTCCTGTGTTGAAGCATAAAGCAGCCCCAAACATGGCAGCTCCCAATGCTTCTCTTCAAAACAAGAGTCCCCCAGCATAACAACCTCCTGAATTACCCCAAACACATTCCCTGAACACACTACAGTACTATTTGTTTGTAGATGGCAAAAGACTACAATTAGTTTGCAAGCAGCCAAAAATACACCTCATATCCACACTGATAAAAGACTGAACAACTTATAGGGAAAAAATATTTAGATTTCTATTCATTGTTTTTTTCCTGTTTGTGGCTGATCATTTGAGTGTTACTTTCTGTATCTAGAAATCAAGCATTCAGTGTGGCTCATACCTGAGACCATCTGAGGGTCAGCGCTATCAGATCAAATAAAAACTGAATAGAACTGTATTGTTTGGGAAGCAGACATTTTTTGGTAACAAATGCATGTATGTCAAAGGAGGCTGGAGATCCATAATAAAAATCATCATAACTTACTAAATATTTGACCGATTTTCAAGTGGTTTGGTTTGTTACAAATGCCAGACATATATCTTTTGCAGATGGTAACAGTAGCATTTCTATAATATAATATTTAAGATTAACTGTTCTTAAGTATTTAGTTCTATAGTATAAACTTTTTTATTACTGTGTGTAAAATGGCTGCCGTGATGTAATTTTGGGAAAAATATTAAGATTTAATTCATAAAAAAGACATAATTACAAGTGAAATGCTACAGCGACCATAGTTTTCAGCTGAACTCAGACAGTTTTGGAGGGAAAAGGAGGCAACATTCAGGAGTGAGGACAGAATTCTCTACAAAGAGGCCAAATACAAGCTGGACAAAGGGATTAAAGCAGCAAAGAAGAAATGCTCTAAAAAGCTGAAAAGCCACATTGCTGCTTACTTCAGTCTGGAAAGGCCTCCAACAACCACAAGGTGAGAAAAATTACCCTTCTCCAGAATGACCACCAGGTCACCAATGACCTGAATGAGTTCTACTGCAGATTTAGGGTTACTACATGCACTTCCCTCTGATACTTGTCTATTTATCACATTTTCTTTTTATTTTTAACTATTCAAAAGGAACTGCTCTAGGGATTTTGGGTAGACTGGCTCCATCCCTGTGAGTCCCATGACATATTTATTGTTTCTCTGGGACCTTCTTATTTCTGGTTGCTCAGTCTCTACAGAGGAACTGGACACACTTGCTTCTGATGCCTGTGTGCTCATCCCTATACTATGTTCTGGAGATGACATGCAGGAGGTTCAAGAGCTGTAGCTGGACTGCTGGCATCAACAAGTAGGGGATAAGATACTTCAGCTGCTATGAGAGACAAATCAGTACCTGTGTCTCACTTGATCAATCGGTCTTCTCACATCTCTTCTGTTCTCTAGGCTGACACTGCCAGGCAGTGTCAGCCTAGAGAACAGAAGAGATGTGAGAAGACAGTAGTCTTTTTGTCCACTTTTCCTAGTATCCAAGTGGGACCTGAGGAAAAGTTTCATGTATCCACTCTGTCAACCACCTGTACACTTCTTTCTCTGGTATGTTGATTGTGGTACAGTTTTTGTTTCTGCTGCTTGTTTTGTACCTGTCTTCGGAAATCAGAGCGAATGAGGTTGAGCTCAGATCACAACTTTCAGCCGTTCAAAAACTCTGCTGGAGGTGTACCTGTTTTGGATTGAGCAGAAATTTGGTAATTGAACATAGCATGTGCTACTTTGGTTTCAACATTATCTCCTTTGATCTTTTCCATCAATTCCTTGAAAGACTGTACAGGTCTCTCAACAAGAAATTTAAAGATGCATGGTACAAAGCTATAGTTAAGTATAAAATGCCATTTCTATGTATTTCTATGCTCATGAAACAAGTGCTGTTTTCCGGAACTACCATTTCTGATACTCCATGTTGGCTGAAGCATTTCTTTAAGCAATCAATAGTGACTGAAGATATGGATTTGTTCAGTGGCTAGGCCTCCAACATATTTAAAGCCGGCATTTATGAGACAGAGAAACATTTTCCCCCTCTAAGGTCCGACATAATCTACATGCACCCTTCTCTTTGGCTTTTCCAGCCACTCTCATGCATCTATCGGAGCCACTGGGGTAAGGTTTTTAATTCTTTTGACAGCCTCAACATGACTTCACAAAGGTCTCAATCTCTGCATCCAGGTTAGGCCACCAGACATAACTTTTGCTAATCCTGTCATTCGAGTAAATGGGTGAGACTGTTGTAGCTGTTTCATTCCCGGATGTTGGAATAATTACTCTGGCTCCCCATAACATCCACCCAGTATGCTTAATTCATCAAAGCTAAAAGCAGCATTGTCTACTTTCCTCAGCCACCCTCTAAGAACATACTCTCTTACTCTAATAAGAACTGCATCTCGATCAGTCCATTTTCTCACCTGCTCAGCTGACACAAGGGGAACATCACTCTCTGCCAGAAGAAGCCCTCTCTCTGTGTTCTCCTCTGATAGGTGTTCCCCCTTTTCCATTAAGGGCAGTCAAAGCATCAGCATTACTATGCTCTTATCCAGCTTAGGAAGAAATCAATGATAATAATTTAAGAGCACAAGGTAAGCCTTTAATTCTGCAACACTGCATGGAGCAGATGCTTCCTTGATCACTGCTACTTTCACATTTGCTGCATGTAGGTCTCTTTTTCCCCAAAATGTGCTATTGCTTCATTTGAACCTCAGGCAACTGCTCTCTAGTTTCTGCAGTACCTCTTCCAGGTTCTGTAGATGCTCTTCTTTGGTTGGACTGCTGACCAGGATATTGTGCAGGTACACTATGACATTTAGAATCCCTATCATGGTTCTCTGAAAAATAGCTGGGCTAGAGGAAACCCAAAGTAGTCTGGAGTGTGTGTACAATCCTTGGTGTGTGTTGATGGTGACATGTTTCCTTGAACTTTCATTAAGCACTATCTCTTGATAGGCATGGCTCATGTTGAATTTAGAGAAATGCTCTCCTTCAGCTAAGTGGGCAAACAGATCTTCACTGTTGGGGATGGTGTAACGCTGAATGTTATATTGACCGTGAGCTTATAATCCACACATCCTTACATACTTATTGAGTTTAATGACAGGGACAATAGAAGCAGCCCACTCTGAAAACAGGTTTAGTGATTTTCTCTTCTACTAACCTGAATAATTCTGCTTCATTGTCTACTTGGATTTGGGGTTTAGTGCTGTTTTTGCCCCAGTCCTTCTTTGAATACTTCAGCATACTTTTCTAAAACCTCATCTAGCTTTAGCTTGAACTTCACCACCACTTTGTTGTTTGGTTGAGTCTCCAATGAAAGCTCTTTAAGCCACCCTCTACCAAGTAAGTTTGCCCTGTCCCCTTTTAGTGCTATCTTGGGCAGTGTTTTGTTTCTGCTCACTGGGTCTCTACTGTCACTTGTGTCACACTCAGCACCCCTAATTTCTCTCCTTTACTTATTTTCAACTGCAGGGAGGAGTGTTCCAACTCTGGAACTATGCCTTTTTACCACATATTGGAGTAATGCCAACATGCCAGTAACTGTTACTGTGCAGTCTGTGTCAATCTCAAATGTCAACTCTGTTCCATTGACTGCTTTGTGTGCTATTCGACTTAGTAGTCGCTGTGTTACACTTTAAATAGTGTGATTTTTGCCAGCATCTATATATCTGCCACTTTTCCTCTCCTCTGAGCCCTGCTTGCCCCTTTAAGAATAGAACTATTCTCTGCCGAGGACACAATGCTATGTTGCATGCTTTGTACATATCCAAGTTGTAGCTACTGGATCCTCAGGAAGGTGTCTGTGTGGATCTCTGATATCTTTGTTGGCTGATTTCATTGCCTATCTTATTTATAAGGCTTTCTTGAATGTTAAATCCACTTCTGCTTACAGCCGCCTTTGTATCCTGTCATTACTCACACTGCACAATCGCCAATTCCTCAACATCTGTTTCAAAGCCTCACCTTAGTTGCAGCACTGTGCCAATTTTTTAGAATTCTGCTGAATAGTCTGCCATGCTTTCTCTAGTTCTGCAAATTCTGGAAGTGAACTTAAATTTTTGCATAATCTGTGCAAACCTTTATTGTGCGGTTGTTTGTGTTGGCTAGCTCACCTTTCTGTTTTTTGCTAGGGCTCTTTTCAATTGCATACCACAGCTTTCACACAGCCCATCAGTTTGCAGTCCATTGTAATCCTTGTCACCAAATATGTGCTATCATGAGGGAAGCTACAAATGAGGTAGAGAGGATTTATCTAATGCTGATTTTCTTTATTTCTGCAGATGTGTGGTAAGATGAGAGGACATTCTCCTCTACTCTCTGACGATTATTATGCTGACAGCATTCTAGCACCTCCTGCTGGACAAATAAAGAACTTATTTGTAATAAACAATATCATACTTGTTTGCATAAACCTGTTACATTCACTCTGGTTCACATATATTAATGCAGCTCAGCAGCAAGTTTAATATTTAAATCCTCAAAACACAGTGTAGCTTTCGTGGAACATCTAATGTAGCTCTAAACAATGGAAAACTGAAAAAACTGAATTGAAGTGAAATTGCAGTGAAGATGATGTTTTTTTTTTTTTCTATGCCAGAA